CAATTGGTTCTGATAAACTGCCTTTGAAATGGTTAACACCCTTTTTTATCAAAGCTAGTATATGTTCACCTGAGTGAAAATAATGTACAGTATGCAGTATTTGCACACTTTGGTGAAAATAATGCATGTGGTATTTTTTGCAAATGTTAGTGAAAATAAGGCAGATGGCATTTGCACACTTTACATTAAATCCCTTCCCTGCCAGTGCCTGACCCACACACTAATGGCTCCATAATACCATGAAATAGGTTAGGATCTTTTTATATTAGTGCACCGTTCTATCTAACCTAACCTAAACATGGGGGGGCTCCCCCTGATTAGGTTAGGTTAGGTTTTTGGTGATTTTCTATGTTTTTTTTTACACATTTCTAATATCAAAAGAAAGAATGGTGCACTACTATAAATTGGCCCAGGTTAGGTTAGATTTACACTACAGTGTGCAAATACCACGGATGTTATTTGCACTAAAGTGTGCAAATACCCATGGCATACTTTTATTTACCCCCCCCCAACAAGAATTGTATTTCATGCATTAAACAAAAATATCCATCGTTTCCCTTTTCCCTGTGTGATTTTATCAATATATATATATATATATATATATATATATATATATATATATATATATATATATATATATATATATATATATATATATATATATATATATATATATATATATATATATATATATATATATAATAAGGCAGAGAAGTGGTCGAACATTTATGAATTTGATAAGTTAGGTTTATTTGAAATAACCAACCACTTACCTTCTTGTTAAGTAACTTAAGTTAGTGTAGGTGTTTTGTTAGTTTGTGTCAGGTTGTCATAATTTCTTTTAAGGTAAGCCACAACCCCCAATATGATTCTAAAACTGTGAAAATACAGTGTACTGTACTGTACTATGAACACATTTATGTTGTTTAACAAAATTACGTTACTGTGTTGTAACTTCTAGTTACACAGTCGTTACAGACTATAGAATGGCTTGTTTTCTTTGGGATTTTCTCTAAATTATGAGCTTTAATGCAGAACCCATCTTCAGTGAGGGGGCAAGGTCAATAAATATACAAAGCAAACTACATAAAATGCCATTTTAGATGAATGAGTGACGGTGACCTGTCCTTGGTTAAATCAAACTTAGCTCAATGATTTTTTTTAATCCACCAAGAGTGGTACTCAGCCTAGTTGCTATTTTCTTAAGTGTTTTCTCGTCCCACCACCACTGAACTTAGTGTGAAACTCCTCAAGACAGCACACCAATAATAGGTTGGGCTATTTAGAAGACGCAGTCATCCATACATACTTTCTTTTAAGTCCAAGGCACTGTTTTCCATGATAAAGTGAGGTAATATAGTAGAGTACTTACGTCATGGTGGGCGCCTCTAGCTGCTCTCACCCGCGTCTGTTCCTCACGGTAGCCGCTCACAGTCTGTACTTCACCTGCTGCTCTATGTTTGGGTTGGGGATTTAACTCATAGAGAATATAAAAGTGGAGAACATTTAACTATTTAAAAACTGCTATAAAACAGCCTTGATATTTTAATAGATTTTGAAGCTAATTCGTTGTATTCATCTTATTTCATTATATTTGTTCGTTTTAATATGATATGCAAAGATATAGAATAATTATGTATGTTTTTCTCTATGAATATATTACCACCGCAAACTTTAAACCATTAAATTGCTTTGGTAATGTACATTATTATTTATGCTTATAATTGGGGCAATCAACTATGATATACAAGTCTCCGAGATTATGTTACTTAATCTGTATGTAATTATGTGCTTAAAATTAACCTAAAACTTTTTATTTGTCAAGTTTAACATCATAAAGTACTACTGTATAAGATTTACCAATAAAACTCACAATTTGTATTAATCATGTACAAAGATGATATAAGAGTTAGTACAGGTGTTGTAGGGGGGCAAGAAAAAACTTTATTTGTTGAATCAGTTTTCCCTTGTAGCGTACTGTACTGTATTGTGGCCAGTAGTCAATTATCTTTAGATGTCTATTATCTCTTTGTATGGCCACACAACGTACGTACATGTAGATATCTCACACTCAGGAATGAGGTAGAATAGAAACTCACGATGCGTTTTCTGTATATATATTGTTGTACAGAGTAGTGCTAATGAGTTACTAGGTGAGGTGTAGCTTGCTCAGAGTTCCTGTAGGGCGTAGGCATGGCCGTATTTAAGTCGTCCCTTGTAGGGGATGGAGTCCACTACACCTTAACCAGGTAAATAGCAAGCAAGCCCAGACAAAACAAGGATTGAAATTGATAGTATAGAAAAGTTACTATAGTACTTAAGTTTACAATTTGCCGTGCGAGGGGCTATTTTATTGGGCACCCCCTTGCATCCTGTACTACTGAAGTTGAAATGGACAGCCATTTGAGGTCATAGGATGAGGAATAGGGCGGAGGCGGGAGTACACCCGAGCACCAGAGTTAAGCAAGGTCAATTCCCCCCCCCCCCCCCCCCCCCACGCCCGACCGTGATTTAGTTCCTCATTAATGTTCATGGTTCATTAGAAGTCCATCACTTCATGTCTACGTACCCAGAAGAAGTATGTTTTCCATTGCCGAAATGCCTTCTAGGAGACAGAGTTTTACCATAGGGCAAACACATTGTGGGGGTATGAGATATTAGTTCACACTCAGGATGGGATGGAGATAGGAAACTCACAATGTGCTCACTGTATACATAGGGTATTGGATGTACAATGTAGCTTGTTGCTGGGTAGGTAGCATGGTAATAAGCATTGAGTAGAGAGAGCTGGGTGGTGAGGGTGCCCAGAGTGAGGGCACGCGGCTTGAGGGACGCCAAGGTCGCTGGCGGGAGCGGCAGCCGCACGACTGGCGCAGAGGAGGAGGTGTTGCTTGCTGGGCACTGAGTAGAAAGAGAGTGGTCACAGCGGTGTCAGGCCTTATAAGGCGGGGGTAGGCGTGGATAGATAGTTGACCCCCGCTCCGTGGGCAGCGCTGGAGGCGTAGGCTGAGGAATTCGAGAAGGTTCGGTGCTTGTAGGGGAGGAATCCACTACATTAAGTGCAACATTTTCGCCCCCCAGGCCCCGATGTGGGTCAGTGACCTGTGCCCGGGGGGGGGGGGGGGCTAATCCCCGAAAAAAAAAGGTATTTTTCTTGACATGTCTCACAAGTCCATCATTGTCAGGTTTTTCTTCTATTACTCTGCTGAGTGGCCACTGGTTCCTAGAGTTGGCCTCCTAAGCTACGATGACCATGTCATTTGATCGAAAGTTGCACCATGATTTGAGATGGGTTTGGCAGCTTCTCAACAAAGGCAAGTATTCCTGCGATACGACTGCTCCATCAGTAGGCCACCTAGGGGGAGAGTGCATGTACCAGGGCATATAATGTGCATAAGCGTGAGTGCCTCAAGATTATTGACATCATCTGAAATAGGGGTAATCGGCCGTTCATTCACTAAAGCTCCCACCTCGCAAAAAAGGGTCTGAAGACTTTCATCGTCTAGCACAAATATGTTCTGTGGTACCTCTATGGGCCGAGAATCTCACTAAGGCGTTGAGAAAGGTTTCAGCATCTAGCGAAGCAAGAACTTCAAGGTTTATAGCATGAGTAGTCAGGCACGTGAACAGACATCCCCACCTCTTGAGACGTTTACGCCCCTGGTTAAACAAATAGTGGCTTACCTGGAGTAATTCGATTCCCCAGTAAGTCAGTTAATGCTGTTTCACAAGCTTCCAGTTGATCCAGCAGCACACCACACACAGCCAAGTGATCTTGTTCAGCAGCCGGCTACACTGGGGAATCCATAACTTCTGCCGTAAACACGCCAACATGTGTTCTCCTCCAGTGTCCAGCCTGAGTTTCATGTATGTTCCGCACAAAGATTTCAGTGATGTGATACTGTATTGATAAGGAAGTAGGATCGGATGCTGGATGCCCCATTGATAGGGGGCATTCTTCATTTGGCCACCCACCCTGATTAGTTCATCCTTGCCCAAAAATGGCTCTAATCTGCAAAGCTCACTTTGCCCCCTCAGCATACCCCTAGCAACAGCTTTCATCTTGTCTGGATAACACTCCCTTTGCATCGAGCGTAGGATAGCCACTTCAACCTCCTGCACCTCTGCCACACTTATTCCACTGTCAGTAACTGATGATACTTCACATTGTTCCCTGTTGTCCAAAGTGCTGTCCTCTCACGGTCTACTCTTGCCTTCCCACAGTTGGCATAGTTGCCAACGCGTAGACGATTTCCCATCACGAGTATCGTCACACTCCTCCACAGCCTCACCATCCACATTAACTACATAATTACTCATATGTAGACTTATCATCATCCATAGTGTCCTTTGTCCTGTCCTGGCATTTCTGAGTTGTATACTCCATGCCTCGTTATGGGCAGGTGATTCTTGGCACTTCAAAGAGTTTTTCCTAAATAATCCGTGCTGTGTCCTCGCTGGCACGATATGGGGTCCATAGTTTGGCCATGCAAGGCCCCCCTTGAACCTTTCAGGAGCAATTGACTTCCCTGTTCACACTTCATCAAGGTTCTCTTATGGGACTCCAAACCCACCAGTCACACCATTCTCCACTCTATCACCCATCAAAATCACTCCTTTTTGTTGTTAATTGTAATTTCTTAGTGTACAGTACTCTTAGATACTGTACTGTACTACACAAATTTCATTCTTATCAGTGCATAAAGCCTAATGCCTTCATCCAGTACTGTACTCTAAATCAAACCATATAAAATGTTACAATCCCACACTTCACTTCTTAAGTTTATAAACGTACAAGTAAATATTCTTTATTTATACTCGTGCTACAAGACCCATTCCTCACCACTGTTATCTTCTAGCATTCTAGCATTTTCATCTGACACACTCCTAGCATGTCCACTTCCTATTCTTATAGACTAATTCTCATTATCAATATTAAAAAAAATAATTAGAAAGCAATTAATTTCAGTTGAAATACAGTAGTCAATAAAAATTCAAAATAACAACAAATATATATTTTTGGTATTGTTCATGTTATCAATACAGTACTACAGCATATCATTTATGAAAATATTAATACTTGTATAAGGCTTCAGTCATTTTTTAAGAAAAACTTATTCTACATCAATCTATATATACAGTTAAGATTGAAATTCAGTCATATCAGTTTCTTCTGAAACACAATGACATTCTTCACTAACAAATGATCATATAATATGCATAGCACATGGAAAAAGTTAGCGTTGTTGTGAAACATTTGTACAGGTATATATTCTACAAATTTCGAATTTGAGGGGTACAAAAGTATGTTTTTTTTACTGCACAGTACTTGGTAAATAACACACAATGTTCAACCATCATATACCTTCTTCCACTTTGCAATAGGGTGAGCTTCAGAGGTCTTCCCCACACCTAGGTCACCATGGATTGTCTTTACAGCGAATTGACAGAGACCCCAATTGACATACAGTACTCTTAAAACATACTTAAGACTTACAATATTTGTGTAGGAATAAAAGTTAAAGAAAGAATTAACAGCAATATCTGGCAAAATAATCTATTTGCAATATTATAAAAGAGCTGCAATATTGTTTTCATAATATTGTACGCTTAGCATGCCCCTAAAATATAAGTCAGCAATAAATTTGATTGTATTCATTAGAATGTCCTCCCAAAGAATAAATGAACAATACTGTACTGTATAACAAATGATATAAAAGAAAATTTCTCATCTGTTACTATATTAACATCAATTAACTTTTATTAACTACAGTATCATACATTAGTTACTTTAACACCCTCAATAACAAACACAAATTGTCAACATGAATAATGTCATTAATCTAATTTATTCTGATTAACAATATAGTTATCCTTCTCTTTATGTAATTTTACAATAATGTAATATATAAGTTAGGGATATAGTCCCACTTTATATAGGCTAATTCCCAATAACAATATTTGTCAAGAGCTCATTTCATATCACATATGACAGTCTCCTTGAAGGAGTTTCTTCATTTTTTTACACAGTACAGTACCTAATGTAGTGAATACAAGTGTACTATAATTTTACAGTTTACTTATTCTATTATTGCAGTATAGTCACTAAATTTTTTGAAAGACATTGAATTAGACGAGAAGTTAAATTAAGACGGTAGATAAGTGAGGAGGTCGGGCTGGATGGCAGCAGGAATGGCCAGCTGTTAAATTTGCTTTGTTCCAAATATTAATAACACTTAATGCAGCTACTAATTTTTGGTGCAGTATCTGAGAACAAAAACAAATGAAAATAATATAGAACTCATGATTATATTTAAGGTACTATATTATGAATAACAAGTGTTATGAGCTGTATCACATGCAATAAATATTTGTAATCACTTATAATCATTTATAATTTCACATACTGCACCTAAAAAAAAATACCGGTAGTACTGAATATTAAGATTATCGCAAGTAGTAGTAGTAACAGTGGTGAGAATTAAGGTGTTTGATATGATTGATAATGTTGTACAATACAGTACAGTACAGTATTTATTACAGAAACTCTAAGTTATATGTAGGTACACAGGAAGGCCCAATACACATCACAGTGAAATTGTACTTGGTACTGGGATAAAGCTCTAATCATATCTAAACAACTTGGTGTGATTATAAGGTTACATAATATTGGCACCATGTTAATATATACAGTACTATAGTATGCATAAAGTCAGCCAGCCATTGTTGCTTTAACTCCCAGGCTATGCTAACCCTTCACTCTGTACTCCTATTAGGGATGAAGTACAATTCAGTATGTGAGGATAAACTATCCTTGCTATTTCACATTTCAACAGACTAACAATAACATCTTTTAACATCTAACAAAAATAAATAATTCAGCAAATAGAGAGAAATACGGAAACAGGTCCATCACTGGTATATTTAAGAATTTACAGTAAGTACATAAATATTATTAATGTTTTAATAACAGGTCATTTATATCTATAGTATGCTCACCATTATGACTCCAATGAATCATGCCTAAAATTTGAATTACTGTACTGAAAAAATACAACACTGTACAAACAACTTAAAGAGAGTTTGCTTGGCACTTTCAAAAGGCAACTTGTAATCTTGTGTAAACTTAAATTGCACAATAAAAATATTGTCCAATGTCAATTATTGTCAGTTCTGGTCATAGTGATAATTATGTTACCATGTATTACAGCAATTGCATTTAGAAAGGGCTTAGCAAAGACAGGAAATGCATTGCATTTATGTGAACAAAAAGACAGTTGGCATCACTTTCCAAATCAAATTATGAAATTAACTTTACGTAACAATAATCTACTACAATAGGTGTGTATAGTGTGCCAATGTGTACAATTCCTTCCACGAAAGAAAAACAAAATTTCAGCTCATTTACTCCTTTTACACTGCTGTCCCCAAAAGATAATCATACCATGTACTGTACCTATGGTTTATATGATTCTAATAACTACAGGCATCCCTCAATTTAACAGAGTTCTCCATTCCCGAAAACCATTTGTAAATTGATATTTCTTTAAGTGAATGTAATTTTCCCACTGATTTCCATTATTACATACTACTGTATACAGTACTGTACTGCATTTGAAGATATATTCCAACAAAAAATATGCCCAAAGCTTATTTATAATGACAAATAAGACATTTGGAAGCACATACTTAATGAGAAACAAGATTTATACTATATTTATTACTAGTACTGTATTATTATTGGCAAATACGTTTATTCACTGAAAATTAAAAGGAACACTGACAAGAATATTTGGTTTAACCTATTGACTACTGCATCTTTGTTATTAGTATAGTAAGTAAGAAATTATAATTTCATAATCTATGTATAACAAACAATAACATCAGTAATTTGCTTTTATTATGCTTCTCACTATATTTCTTGCATTAATTAGTAATTCCATGCTTGACAACCCTCATTCAGAGCAGTGCCAAGGGTCAGCTTACTGATCTCTAAGATGCTGACTTCTGTGAACTCAAGAGAACCTGGGCACCTGGCACCAGATACATACTGGTTATACTGTACCAGAGAGAGCACATCCATATCACTCTCACAGCAATTCTCAGTTACAGCTCCTGTAATTATATCTTAAGTGTATCTATATAGTGTTACACAAAATAAAGGACAAACACTGTTGTGTTTCAATAAACTCCCTGATAATTAAAGTGTCTTCAAGTAACTGACTTTAACTACATGTAGTCATAACTACTAAGTGCTACAACCTAACCATAACATCAGGCTCAACTGACTATAACAGTAATAAATGTTACTGAGAAGCACAGTACGATAATTACCGAGAGCCTCTGCCACTGGCTGAGGCCTAACCAACATTTTTTTTATTCCACAATGATGCACCAGCTAATGTTCCCATACACATTATGCTTTTACTGAATATAAATTTTGCTATGGGTTTAACTGAACACTGAATGCTACAGTACCCTGTACATCTTATGCATTTAACATTTTATAGTGTACTGTACACATACAGTTGCGAACACAAGTATGACCATTACAAGATTAGGTTTGGGACCTCCAAAAGCCAACGCTAAGTGATCAATTGTATATTGATATTAATAACTTAATGGAGAAAAATATGTTCCCTTCCTGAGTCCTTGAAGAGCCCAAACAAGTTTTATATCCTACAACTATAATGATTAAATGTCTAAATAACTCAAATAATTTATAGACATAAAATCAATCAATTTATACAAAATAAAAATATAAAAACTATAAATTTATACAAAACAAAAATTTACATTCATTTACCTAACATGAATGTGTGTGTGTGTGTAAACTTGGCAGGTCACCAAGCAAGATGTCAGAGTAGCTACATTGCCATACCTCTCCTCCTACAAGGCGAAGCTGTGTTATTGTTATTTTTCAACTAGTAATTTCGAGTTGATACTACAGTATAAATGTATTTTTATTAATTTTCTTTTACTGTACTCTGTTACATGCACACACAATTTTTCATACAGACCGTGAAAAAAATATAAGAAATTATTATCATAAGTTAAAAAACAATCAAGATTATTAACATTTATCATGTCAGCAGGAGTAAGCCAATTGTGGGAGAGGCAGAGAGGAGGAGTGGTGAGGGAGGTACAAGACTGGGATCTCATCCTCCCTACTGGGCCAAGCTGTGAGCTGCTTTATTGTTATTTTCAACTCGTATTTTTGGATAGATATACAGTACGTAATTTTGTTCTTTTTTATACTGTTTACATGCACACACAATTGTTCATATAGAATGTGCAAAAAATAAATAAAATAAAAGGTTATTAAAAGATCAAAAACAATGAGAATAAAAAATTTCTTACAACCATGGGAGTAAGAGTGTAGATTGTGGGAGAGGGAGCGGGTGGTGGGGGTGAGGTGTCAGTGATATCCTCCCCTACTGGGCCAAGCTGTGAGTTACATTGGTGTTATTTTTCAAATTGTATTTTTGGATAGATATAGGTAATTTTCTTCTTCTTTTTTTACTCTGTTACATGCACACAATTGTTCATACAGAATGAGCAAAAAAAAAATACTATTATCATAAGGTTAAAAACATAAAGGGATTAAACATTTATTACATGTGTGGGAGCTAGGACAAGAGAGTAGTGAGGGAGTGGGGTTCTCACAGCTCTGCTGTCTTGTGCTAGTGACGAGATTGCCAAATGGCAATGCACTATTTCTTTATTTATTCCTCACATTTACTGATACAGGATACGTAATGTATATTATTTCATGTACAAATAATAGCTTCTTCCACACACAAACCATCCTCTGGGAGATGTGACACATTCAACTACTTAGCCTGGCAATCACCGGGGACGGGCAGAACCTTCCATGCATCTCGTATGGGTCGTATGTGTTATGTCATTCCAAGATTGCGTCATCATTTCTTGGAATATTGCGAGTTATTGAACATAATTTTTTCATAGTATATTCTGTACACTGTACTTATATAACATTTTGTAAATTGTATACATTTAAGGTTCTGAATAAAGGTAGTGAATCAAATTGTATATTGAGGCAATTATTAATGAATAAACAGTTCTTTATTTATTAAATTTTATCATTAAAATCCTGATAAACTGAGGTGTAATGTTGATTGGTAGTGGAGAATGGCATCACACAATTACTAAGCCTGAGTACAGACACCTTGACAATGAACCATTACAGCAAGAAAGTAAGCCAAGAAAGCATGGTCATTGGGATAATGAGGAGAGGCCTAAACCCAACTCAAATTTCACAAAAACTGAGAATGACTTGGGCAAAGGTTTATTGTTGGATACAGTGTGTACTGTATTGAACAGAAATAGGGGTTGAACTGAGTACTGAATGCAATTTTTTTATATTGTTAATGTTTTCAAACTAATCTTGTCACTACCTATGACACTTTAATAAAATTATTGACCATCATTCCTTTCTGTTGTGTTAACCAGAAATATATGTGCAATAAACACAAATCTATGGAAAAAGAATTACTCTTAAATAAGATTATAAATGATTGTTGCAATTACCAAAGCATAGCCATATATGTACAGTATAAGATATGAGAACCATGTGAATGAACATTAAATTGTGAAATTTAGTTTCAATATTTTTGAGAAAATGGCTTCTTAAAGACTTTCTGGAATACTAATTCACTATCAAGTTTAAATATTTGCTAATTTGTAATAAATACATAATAATTATCTAAACCAAACTTTATTCCGAAACAAAAGTTACAGTTTAGTTAGGTGGACTTCACAGAATTAATTAGTGTTTTATAGCTTTTGAAAATATGTTCAGCTGTAAAAAACTGCAACGCATGAATCCACAGAATGACACTCATTAAACTGCATGTTTACAAAACTGCTCGGAAGCATACCAAGGAATGCAATCTAAGGCTTGCATGACCAACGGATGGGCTCAAGGATTGGTGGGCATGAGTGGGAGCTCAGAAGGCCATAGGGAATCCTTCAGGGGAATGTCATGCTTTCTATGGACCAATTAATCACTTCAGTAGCAGATGCTATGACATTAACATAATAAAAGGAATTGCACGGACATCAGAGTGGAGAATGAAAGTTAGCAAACTGAATACCTGTAATGCTTATTTATGAAAGATATTAGACTTTGCCTGAACTCTTAGTGTTTGTTTCAACTGGAAGTTTATGTCTCCTCATCAGTCTGTAAAGAACGGGATGGAAAGGATGGAGGAAGGATTGGACGACGCTATTTTGTGAACTGAAAAGATATACGAGTATTCACCATACGGCCTTGCATGCTGTCTTTCTAATACAGCACTGTACTGTGTATGACAATTCATCTCAAACTAGCATTTTTATTTTTTTTGTATTGGTAATCAGTATAAATTAATTCAAAATAAAAATACAGTGACTGCTTAAGCTACCAATCAACACACCTGTTACAAACATCTGCTAATTCATAAAAAAAGTTAACTACACTGTACTTACAAATCCTGTGGGTTTGTTTACTATTGATGAGCTGCCAGATCTCACCATGGCCACCACGATGTGTATCATTACTTATGTTCGCAACGGTACAAGGGTACAATAATTAGCTACTTTGTCCTCCCAACATCAGATAACACTGCAGGAGGATGTAAACATCGGTGCCCCCACAGCTATGATCCTCGGGCCAATGTCTGGTTATTAATTCTTGTACCAGTCCTGTGAGCCAAGATGACTATAACAACACTTTCAATAAGCTCTCTTTTTCATACAGTACATTACTTATTTTTAGTGTCTACATATTACAGATTATTTTGTATTTAATGATATACTGAAGGTAATTCAGAAAATAAAATCCATTACGTCAGATTAAATTTTGTAACTAAAAAATTTTGCTATGTAATTCAAAATTTTTTCTCAATTTTTAGCAATTCCTCACTGCAATTGTTTGTAAATTGATCCTTCATAAATTGAGGGATGCCTGCATAATTAAAAAAAATTCTATATACTGTACTGTATATATAGGAAACCCCCCAAGTTCGCGGATTTTTATTTCGCAGTCCTCTATTATTCGCAGATGACACCCTAGATGTACCCAAGAATGTCTGTGGGTATTTTTAAAGTTGCTGGCATTTTCGCGGCTGGGACAGGGAGCCATTTGTTCTAGAGACAGTAATTTCCTTTACCTGTAGTATTGTAAATATGTGTGTGTGTGTAGACACACATGCACAAAACACATACAAATATATAATAATTGGAAAATCCTCTCACAAATATAATCAGAAACAAATTTATTTAAAATGTAACAGTCTACCCTCAAGTCCATGCTCTATTACTTTATTATTAAAGCACGAACTTGAGGGTGAACTGTCACATTTTTAATAAATTTGTTTCTGATAATTATGTGAGAGTATTTTTCCCATTATTATTTATTTGTATGTGTTTTATGTGTTACATATTTACAATACAGATAAAGGAAATAATTGTCCAAAGGGCAAACACATAAAGGAATATACATTTCTTTGTATACAAGTAAAAATGTAACCACCCCCAATCTGCAAATGTTATTCGCGGATTTGGCGATTCACAGCCATTTTGAGAACCTAACCCCTGCGAATTTGGGGGGCCCCCTGTACAGTACTACACATTTATACTTGAAAAGCAGTGGATTGTAGGGTATTTAATTAAAATGCAATGTTTTTTCACTGGAAAATTCTGATACTGTACTGTTATACTTGACTGAATCAAATTACGGAGTAAATAATTAAAATAAAATTGTGCAGGGAAATGACAAGTTGCAGGCAGAAAGAAACTGTACAGTAAATGGCAACCAAATTAAATTAAATGCAGAAATAAATACATTTATACATAGAAATATGAATTAAACGATTTGAATTTAGAATAAATCCAAAATAACCGAGCGGTTTTGAAAGTTCGCCCAGTGACGGGCTTGAAAATTCTGGCCTGTCAATTAAACTGGAGAATTCCCATCTGGGTGATCGTGTTTTCACTTGGATGCTTCTCAATTTGAATTGTTATTAATTTAATAATTTAATGTTATTCATTTGTAAGTAAGGTTGACAAGTATAATATTCACATGACCTGTGGTCAGGTCACTTGACATCAGGTAACCTCATAATAGCGTCAAGGCTAAAACAGGTGGAAATAGAAGGTCATTTAGTGTACTGGTTGTTGTCCCTTCCAACTGGTACCCTGTACCTCCTGTGAATATAGGAGGTACAGTAATTTACAGAGCTCCTTTAACACATCTGTCGCAAGTGAGATACAGTATGGGGGTCAAGTCCACAGAGGGCTGGGAACTTGCTGATGACCCGTGCAATCAGAGGTGCGTGGAGAACATAGGAATGTCATCCAACAAGTGAAAAGGTAGAGATAAGGTATGCTTAGTTGCTGATTATCTAGTTAATTCGGGAAGTGTAATATTATACAATACTGTATATGTAAATAGCCCACATTTATATAAGTTCTACTGTCAATATGTTGATGGAGGCTATTGCATTACCGGTAGTTTGGGAGGAAAGAGTCAGTAATCTTTATAATAATGCATTCCTAATATAATTTATGTTGTATTTTGTTATTCCTAATATGTACAGTATAACTCATATTTTGTTCCTAAAATTTATTCATCCTAATATAATTCATAATAAACACAGCATTTCTAATAGAATTTGTGATGTATGAACGATGCTTAGCTATACAGCAATTGTCCACGTGGGACTTGTCTTTCTGGGAATTATCTTTACGGGAATCATCCACTGGGAAGAAATCGTCTACTTAGGAATCGTCTTAGTGGCATGTAATCTTGGGTCAATGCTGCTATCATGTGTGAGCGGATCACCGGCGCATGCATAGGTTAATGCGGCACTGCCACCTCATCAGTTGAGATGCTTAGCGTCATAAACCAATTTTTTTTTAGAATTGTGTTGGTGGAAATATAAATCTGAAATATTTTGCAAGATTTTGAGAAAGTAAATTGAATGCAATTTGTAATAAAACCGTACATAAACTATTATTGCATCATGGATGTCCATAAGTCTGACACCCTGTTGTTTACTACCTGTGCGGCAAACATGTTGGACGCTAGTGTTCTCCCAGGATTTATATATCATCTACATATTATCAGCTCACCTCACAATGTAAATATATATATTTATACTGTAATTTTTATTTTATCATTACTGTATGTACATTTAAAAAATATATATGTTTGCACAGTAATTATAAATTGAATAGTTTATGTGACAGCCAAGGCATGGAAACTGAGTGTGGTTGTTGGTTGGAATACTGTAATGAAGAACAATCTTCTGAACGATACAAATAAGATGCTAAAACTGAACAGAAAATAAACGGATAACTGAACAAAAAAATTTGAAAATTGTCGAATACAGTATAAGTACTGTCAAAATATAATGAACTCGGTTAATTCGGATTTTTCGGTAATTAGAGTGAACAGAGCCCCTTTTTCATCTAATTAAAGAGCATAAAGTACACAGAAAAAGAAGTGAAAAAGGAATTAAGTATCAGTCCTTAATGTAATAGTTATTGATGAGACCAGGAGACACATATACATGGTATGTACAGTACAAATACAGTGAACCCTCAGAGATTTGGACTAAAGGGGGGGGGGGGACCACCTGTCCGGCAAATGTACTAAATGTATGAAAACGATAAATAATTATATAAAAAACACCAAAAATACAGCAAGGAGTAAGTACAGTACTGTATTTAGGAAAAAACTTTAGTGTGTATTTTCCTCCTGTAGCCATAGTTTTCTTAAAATAATACACACAGTTCCAGGAAATGTGTGGAATAAATAAAAATAATACCAATATACAAGTTACAACCAACAAAAAATATTGTATTGCCAAATCTTTTAATAAAAGTCAAATGAAAGTTTAACAGTCACCATTTGCATACACTCCCTGCTTCACAATAGTAATGAAGACCAGCTGGGACGCCGATTCCCTAGCAACACTCCCCACCCCCTACACTCTGCACTCTCGTCCCATTACGTGTTTGCCCTTTGGAAAATTACTTCTTTTACTTTTTCATAACATGTATGTAGGACAGTGTGTGCATATAACCAAGTAAAAATAAATGAAGAAAGTTACGTATATCTACCCAAAAATGCGAGTTGAAAAACAACCATAACACTCACAGCTTGGCCCAGTAGCCTGGTGGTTACAGTGACGAGTCTAACCTGGTTACAGTGTCATGATTAATCACTATTAAGCACTATTATATCAGTAAACACTAATAATAAAAGTAAATTCAGTGAAATATTGCAGGGAGTGAGGAGCGTTACAAGAGCAGACGATGCTCTTACTAGTGGTCACTCACTTGCTTCCGTTGCCAGGCGTACGATCAAAATATACATAAGGGAGAAATACATATCTTGTAGTTCAATTTGAAAACGGCGATGGGCACAGTGATAAACAAATTATATAAACCATGCATTTACCTATGATAACATAATAAAAAACATTGTATCATTACTAGAGTGAACAACAATTGACAACTCTGTTTATGATTCCCTCCTCGGGCACCTGTGTCCCGCACGCTGACATCTTAATTACATGGACCTAAGATGATCTTTGCTCTGTTTTGGGAATGCTTCTTAGGGAGGCTTCTTAGCTTGTGGAACTCCCAAATTTTGTGCGAATCTCCCGAAATCTGGATTTACCGGGTCTGAATCTTTGAGGGTTCACAATACATATAATTAGAGAAAAGATGACAAGCTCAGACTACTACAGTACTGTACCTGGTGTTGGCAAAACTGAAGTAAAATTGAGTTAGTTTACAAGATAAAAGAAGCATACACACAGAAATGAAGATGAAATGGGTAAAGGGGTAAAAAAAAATAATAAAAGGAAAGTAAATAAGTAATTGGAGGAAGTAGATGAGGTACTGAATAAACAAAAAGGAAGTGAATGTAAACAAACAAAGTAGATAAAGGAAAACAATAAGAGGGAGAAAAACCATGATGCCAGAGAAACAGGACACAAGGAAAACAATGACACATGTAAATATAAAATAATATTAAGTGAAGGAAAAAGTTGTGCATTATTTGGTCACAATGAAGAGTGGTAATGCTACTATCAGTGCAAATAATCATCTTACTTATCTCTAAATTTTTAAATGCAGTGGCATTCTGTTTTCCAATGTCAGTGGTCAGATATAATACAGACATCAAGGAGGCAGAACGGTGAACGGCAGGTTGGGCAAGGTGCTCTTGACGATAGCCAGGATTCTGGATGGTTCTGGTCTTGTCGGGCCGCAAACCTGTGTAAATTTCATATTTAACATTGTTATAACAAAAAGATATTTTGGCACATACTAAATGCATGAAAACGATTTACAGGTATATATATATGAGGACACTGTGCCTATGCATGTGTCTGTCCACTATCTCTGGCTAGTTTTAAAAGTAGAAAGATTAAATTTAGCATGGAGATATGCATGCTATAAAATATCCTGGTTCTGCAACTTAAGGTGGTTGGTAAGAGGGCGAGGGGAAGACCAAGAAGGAGATGGAAGAATGGGGAGAAGACAAACCAAACTGGATGATAGGTGGATGGGCATTAAGGGAGTAGCAATGTGCACAAATGCCCGAAGAGCAAGCAGTCAAGTGATTTCTGAGGAAGGACATGTTGTTGATGGGTACTGTTAGGTTTTATGAGGTGACAATGGTTGCTTCACAAAATCTAGCATCAACCAGCAGCAACATGTCTTCCCTCAAAATTATAATAATAATTCATGCAATAATCCTTACCATTTACTTAAACAGGAAACACACCACATTGGTCTACAATAACAGGCAACACAGCTATTCCCTGAACCATTATTTGTTGTTCCACACTGACGCTGTAGTTTAATATTAGCTGCCACTTCCATACACCCAATACACATGACTGATTCCTGAAAATAATTAAAACACATAAACAAAAATGACATACATAAAATCTGTTAATCCATAAACCATTCAAATTTATATCATTCCTATCTGTTAGTTCCCACCCGCTTCTCCGTCCAGAACAAGGAGTCAGCATATTACCTGTTAATTAGAGCAATGTGAATCAAAGGTAAATGGTGTCTTTTCAGTGAGAGCAACTTGGCAGCTAATAACATACACAACATAGCTGATCGGTAAGGATGAGCATCGGAGAACTTATCAAGGGCTCCAACACACCAATCTGATTCTCAATAACTTACTTGGCCCATAAATGAGATTTACATTTCCATGTCCTCTTCTAAGGATACAATCTATCACTCATTCTAAGTTACAAACATTCCTCTGTAATAAGCAACTGATACAAAAATCCTTATAAGTTCAAATACTAATTCATCCATCCCCCATCCCCCTCTTGAATAGTTTGCCTCTTCCCTCTCATATTAAACTGTCCATGTGTCTCGTTATGAATTTCGTTATCTTCCAACACACCCCATACTCAACCTCTTCCCCAACTTCCATGGGCCTCGGTGTTCCACATTTAGCTACTGTCTTCTCCATTACTATATTTTCACCTTTTACTTTATCAATACCATTCTTACCATACTGGTGCTATAGTATATACAGTAGTTCCTAAATACTGTATTTCATTTCACTTAGAATTTCTGTTTCCTTGCCACCCACACACCATAACTATGAAAGTGTATCTACCTTCAAAATGTTGATATTATACAGTAGTTGCTTTTACCTGAATTTATTTTTTTTATATTTCACCAACCTTAAATTCTTAATTCAACTTAAAAACATTAGTACAGTACTTTATTCTCATGTCATATCTTGTTCCCCATTTCATTTGCAATGCAGTTTCTACTCACTCTTTTGGGTATCTTTTTGCGAGTATTTTCTGTCCTATTTTTAACCCTTTAATAACAACCAACGTCACAGTGTGTTTCAATTTCCCTGCCTTTTTTTCCTGCACATATGGGAGGACAGTTTATAAAATTAATCAGACATGAAAGGATTATTCCCAATTGCTGTAACCTCTAATGACATGCCTTAATAAGTAAGATATTATACAAATCTGGAAGATAATTTACCCTAGTTTTAAAGACACTACTCACATCCATAATGTTGACTTTAGGGTTTAAATTTACAATTTCCAGGAAGGCTTCAAGAAAGCGATCTGAGAGGCTTTGTTGCACTACAACTTGTCGAGCATTCACAACCGGGTTGACAATTTTTCGCTCTAACTCTGAGTATTCCAAGGAACTCAACCTGTGAAATAAAACATGTATAATATTATAATCGTGAACTTTACTTATACTCTAAATCTTAAATCACCTTTACCTGTAACCTCCATACTGCAAAATCTAATGATAATCAAAGGTTGATGGTTATTCAAGAGAGTAAAGGTATAAGCATGTTACAACAGAAACTGTTTCCATTACTGTATTTTTCTTCTTTTACTTATGTGTTCATATCCCGCAGTATCTCATAATTTAATTCTTAGTACAAACATTTTGCACACCTTATCCTGTTAAAACTGATGCCAGTTTATGTTAAAGATAAACCAACATTGATACAGGTAACAGCCCAATATACTGTACCTACTCTAACCCCAATATATGAAGAAAAAAATTGACATTAGTCTACATTTTGACACCTCCTTTTCTCTATATGAAAGCAAACATTTGCTTAAATGGATAACAATCATATTTCAACACCCTTATTTTTTTAATGATGCAAATCTTGCTTTAATGATGTTCTGCAAAAAGAAAATTTCAAATCACTTGCACAGAACTACTTCTGGCATTAAAATGGTGATGATTCCCACCAAGGACGTGCAGAGACACATTTATGCTCTGCTGTCCAATGCTCCTCCGTGCGAGCCACCCCTCACGCCAGTAATGCACGGCTTTCTTTTGCTGTATTCACGTGTCTCCTCCTGCCCTTTCACACAGGTCCTACAAATACTTATATATATAGACCAAGATGCCTGGTCACAGTAAGACAGAACCCACCTGCACTACCCCTACCTGTGCCATGTGCCAAGAAGTAAGACAAGGCATTTATCCTGGAAACTAAGTTCAAGGTGATCAAGCATCATGAAGCTGGTTAAGGGCCAACAAAAATCGGCCAAGCCCTTGGTTTATCAACCTCTCTTCTCGACCATTCTTCATCTCCATCCTCAGTAATTATGATAAATTAAAATTAAATTGTTTTCAATGCATTAATTTTTTATTATTATTTTTTTTTTTACAGGATGTACAGTGGTGAACTTTGCATGAAAAATCGCCCTATTTGACCCACATTTTCCCTTCCCAAAACAAAACCCCCCAATAATAGTATGTATGGACTCCACCATTCGATATACAGGGTACAGTACATTTTTTCACTTATAATACGGTTTCCAGGAATGCAACCCCCTTTTGAATATTGAGGGATTCCTGTACAGCAGTATCTCGTACAAGAAAAAGAGTTAATTACCCGGTATATGTAATCTACCTACATTTTAAGTCAACTAAGGAGTGAGAGAGGAGTGAAACAGAACAAAGGCCCCAAGGTATTGTGGAAAGGACTGATTGATAAGATAAAGAATGGAATGCTAATGTGGAACAGTCAAATGAAGGAACTGCATACTGAAAAAAAAAATTTATATGGAGTCATGCAGTATGTTGGAGTGGGACACACAACTGCAGTGTACAAGGATATTTACTTTGCAAGACAAAACTGATCCAGATAATGTGATGTATATTGATAGCAAAATAAAAGTTACTCTGTCTTGTGGTAGGAATCAAACATCTTTAAATAAACCATCAAATAAAAATTTTCCTATGATTTTATGCATGGAAAAAATAATTCAGGTACAGTAATAGGGATTGGCTTTTCAAAATCATATAAAACATGATATTCTAACCTGATATAAAATGGTGCTATCCCTTCCCTGATGGATGTCACTTTGATATTGAGTAATTGTGTGTCCAAGGAGTTGTTTTGAGAGAGTTGATGGTTCACACTACTCTCAAGGGACAGAACGGCATCACGCTGGTGTGTCAAATGGACCCTGTATGCTGTCACCTTCATCAGCCAGCTGTCAGTGGCAATGACACGGCAAACACTGTTGGCTTTGGTGCTGAATTTGTCTATCCTGCCAATATGAATAAGAGTAATTAGTAAGTGTTATTACAGTAAAACATTACAGAATATTGTGCAACAGCAATAATGTATAATGTCAAACATTGAAGTACCATGGATACATATTTAGTCTTTGAACACAAGAATACTCAAAGGGAGAAACATAGTGTAAGTCTGACCTTCTGAACTCATTGTTGACATCAGAAGCCACTGACACCCAGGCAGATGGCCTTACATTTCCTTGGCTATACAACGACAATGTCTTGCTTAAAGGATGACGCTGCCAGTTGTCACGCCACCAATTTGTGACTACTAAGGCTGTCACAATGACTGGGACTAGTGATAATATAACTACTACTGCTGTGGTGTCTGGGTGGATCTGAGTATTTGCCCATCTCATCAGTGAAGGTTCTGTCCTGATCAACATCAATATATAACCTAGGAAGAAGATACAATTCTTCTGAAAGATTATATAACTCATTATCATCTATACAATAATCTAATTTTTTTTAGTAATTCACATTAATTCAAATCTACATATCCAATTAATACTAGAAATATAAAAAAAGTAATAAATATGTTCCAGGAATAACATAAAAAAAAAAAAACATATTACAACTGCATAAAATATGCTGCATTAAGAAAGTAATGACTCTCAGTCTAGAATGAAAAAGTCCCATGAAACGAGAAATAACTCTTGCTGTGCACTCTATTTCAGACTTTAGATGAATTCACAACTGTTTTCTGATAAGCAGGATAGCTATCAGTGTAGAATTCTAAAAATACCATGTACAGTATTTCATAAAAATTATATTTGAGATTACAATTTCTTTTCATTTCAAAATCATACAGAATTTGTCTATCATTTATACAGTAGCTTGATAACATGTCTTTGTCAGAAAATACATAGCTACAGCATACTGTACAGGTAACTTCACGTGCATTGCACTTACCTGGAAGAAGTAATACATGAACCATAAGTGTGACTGCAGTTCTCCTTATCTGGTACTGGATAAATCCTGTTAGTTGGCTGCCCAACCAGGATCCAAGCAGAGCTTCAACAGTCAGCCCAGCAGCGACCATCTCATCCGGTGGAAACACCACTACCAGAGCAAACAGCCAGTAGAGTAAGGAGTAAAACCACACCTCTCCAACCATTACTTCCTGAAAATATTGTACAAATTCATAATACACCATCACTTCATTACCCATAACGTTTAGCTGTCTGTCACAAAAGATCAATATACGGTACTTGTAATTTGTTCTGTTCATAACTAAAAATAGTCATATATTGTAATGTAATTAGAAAAAAATCTAACTGGAAAACTTGCTACACAGTTTCATTATCTTAACTCTTTATTCTATGAATGCAACTCTTAATTTTCTTCCTCTACTTAAAGAACAATACAGCATATGTCTAGGACAAATTTCAAAATTTAACTCCAGCTACACCATCAGGTAAATAATATGAAGGAAGACTAGACAGATATTGGAACACTGAACCACAAAATATAACATCAACTAAGCCATTACATACACATGACTGGATTATATTAATAGGAATTAACTGTCACACACTGACAAAGCTCACATCAATTGTCTACACTCTTAAGAGGACCTGAGGGTATTAACGAAGGGACTAAAATGTTATTCTTATATAGTACATGGGAAGTCTACCAAACACAGTAATACATATTACACAAGATCACATTATAGCACTAAACTACAGTACATACAGTATTTCTTTACAGTGGTAATGCTTATGGCCATCACCACTGTGTCTTGAGTTTGATCCCAGCCCAGGTCAGAAGTGAGAAGGGTTACTAGTCCTTGGCCCAAGGCCCATATTTGAGCTAATTTATATCATCTCTGGGGACAAAAATGACCAATTTTTCTGAAAGCCCAATGTCCATGGTTCACAAAAATGATGGGGAGGCCATCTGGGAATCCAGTTTTATGCTATTTTGAGGTTACTATAGCAACCAATATAGTGACGAAAGGTGAAATCTATGAAAATAGAGAAAGTTACCAGAGTGACATTTCCAGGTAACTTAATAAACATATTAAAAAAATATATGTATCACTTTTTTATTATATTTGCTCGAAAAATTAACTTACAGTTTCATGTTTGGTTTGAAAAAAATATTTAAACTGGGCAAACTGATCATAACTATACCAAGTAACTCTGCTGCAGCAGAATGCTCCTTTTCTGGGCTAAAATGAATAAATACTTGCTAACGTGGAATGTAAGGTCAGGAGAGATTCATTCAATTTAGAATATTCTTTGGGAATTAAGACCGTGGTTCCTTTTATGATGAAGTTATACAGCAGTTAACATCTCATAAAAGAAGAGAACTACTATTGTACTGTATAAATAAAATGGTTAAGTAAAATATTATACTACCTTTGCATTGCTAATGCACTACTACACATGTTAATTTATTTTACACAAGTGTGTGCCTGCTGTACTATTTATATACATAGAGTATTATACAATCATTTCCTGGTACATTTTGTTATGCTACTCATTATATAGAGGTCCCACTAATTACCCAAATGTAGCCAAATATAGCCGGAATGAAGTCAAATAATGGTCCTAGATGAATAAATCGGACTGCCAATCACTTCTCGACTAGTATTTGGTGTCACAAAGTCACAAAAAATTGGTAAACTTAATTTAATCTGAGTTAATAGATCAAGTGCATGTACCTAACCTAACCTAACCTAACCTAACACAACTCAGATTAAATTAAGTTTACCAATTTGTTTTTACTTTATGACACCAAATAATAATCGAGAAGTTTCACAGCCCAAATTACGCTTGTACGACCATCATTTGACTACATTTGGCTACATTTGGGTAATTCCTCGCTCCGTCGGTACATGCACGCGATGTATTAACTCAGATTAAATTAAGTTTACCAATTTTTTGTGACTTTCTGACACCAAATATTAGTCAAGAAGTGATTAGCAGTCCGATTTATTCATGTAGGACCATTATTTGACTTCATTCCGGCTATATTTGGGTAATTAGTGGGACCTCTATATAATGAGTAGCATAACAAAATGTACCAGGAAATTCTGATAACTTCACCTGCGATTGTTCCCATATACCTTTAATGTTTGTGTTCTCTAAAAAACGTTCAGGTGTTCCAGGTATTAACTACTTATGTGTGCCCTATAAAGAGGGGAATGGGACGGCCCGACCACAGTTACTGTTGTTGTTGACGTGGGTCAGGTGTGAACCCGACAAACGAACCCAACACCTGATCCGAACCCAACACCTAATCCGAACCCAACACCAAACCCGAACCCAACACCTAATCCGAACCCAACACCTAATCCGAACCCAACACCTAATCCGAACCCAAACCCCTGGCTGGATTAGTATTTTCAAAGACATGATAATTTATAACATTACTTTAGTTAAGAATACTATTGCCACACTTAAAATAAATTTAATTTCATTTAAATTTCCATCATAGTCGCGAATAATGTAAGTGTCAAAATTATTAGAAAATCATCATTATTGAAATATTATTCCGTTATCTCTTACACAACACCGATCACAGTATCCTTTAACTTTATCTGTATCCTGTCCTCCCGTGATCAAGGAGAGGGAGAGAGAGAGTTGCGTACAAGTAAAGAGAACAGCCCTTTATCCTCTTCGACCTCGATTGGCGTGTTAGATAAATATATATATATATATATATATATATATATATATATATATATATATATATATATATATATATATATATATATATATATATAAATATATATATAAAGATAGATAGATAGATAGATATTAAGTAAAATCGCCAGGCAACTTTACATTGGTGATTGATTCAACATGTGCAGTATATAGACAATAACTGGTTATTAAGATTTACTAAATATTAGAGGAGTTTCCATATACTGTTGTAATGGATTTCTCCCCTACAAACGCTGTTTGTCGCTGAGTAGCCGACCCCGCGAATTCCACAGTGTATGCCTCATGGTCTAGGTCAACCAGCGCCGCCCACGGAGCGGGGGTCAACTATCTACCCACGCTTACCTCCGCTATAAAAGACTTGACCTCGTGGTGACCTCTCTCTTCTTCTAGCTACAGCCGCAGCAAGCAACACCACCTCCTCCGCCGCTGCCTGGCGGCCATCGCTCCCGCCGGCGAGCATGGCGACCCACAAGCTGTCCTCCTCTGAGCATCCTCACCAACCAGCTCTCTCTACACCACGCTTGTAACCACGCTGCCACTTCCCAGCACCAAGCTGCATTGTACATCCAATACAACATGCATACAGAGAGCACATTGTGAGTTTCCTTTCTCCATCCCATCCTGAGTGAGAACCCAAACATCCCATACCCCACACTGTATAGACTCTATATATGAAAAATTGCTAACCAAACTTAACCTAATCTAACCTACCGTAACCTGATCTACCCAAGCCTGCCCTAACCTACCCTAACTTGACCTGAACTAAGGTAACCTAACCCCCCTCCCAAGGTAATTAAACGTGTTCCATCACGGGGGGGCGGTGTGTGTGTGTTCTGCGGCTATGTTTTATCCTCTTTCGTCACTTGTCAGCCGTTTGTGTGGTCGGTCACGTCTCTGTTACGCACTAGTGACAAGATTGGGCATGTACTGGCTCCAGAATGTTTCTGTACCTGCACCAGTGTTGGTTAAGTCTGGTCTTGAATGAGCTCACACTCGGTGCCGTCACAGTTCAGTACTCTCTGGAAGGCTGTTCCAAGAATTCCCAACTCACACCGAAAAAGTTTAACCTAGCAATTTTCTGAACCCGTGACTTCGTCAATCAAAGTTTTTTTTTCCGGTGGATAAGCGGCATTGTAAACTGTATGCCTCCGCGGTCTATGTACCTACACATTGTCAAGAGTGAAGTGCTTCCCCATCTGGAGTACTGTCACCCCGTCTGGTCCCCGAGATATGCTAGGGACTGTTAGTTGGTTGAAAATGTTCAAAGGAGGGCCACCAGACTGGTGCCTGCCCTTCGGCACCTCAGCTACCCTGAGAGATTGGAGCGCCTGAACTTGCCTAGCTTATACTACATACGGGCAAGGGGTGACCTAATAGAGGTGTATAAGCATCTCAAGGGGCACTACTCAGTCGAGTGTCCTTACTTGGAGCTGGAGGACACTCACTGCACAAGGGGTCACAGCTCAAGATTGAAGAAGCCGCAAGTCCAGAAAGCTGTGAGGTCAAACTTTTTCGGAGTGAGAGTTGTGAATTCTTGGAACAATCTACCAGAAAGTGTTGTGACGGCACCGAGTGTGAGCTCTTTCAAGACAAGACTTGACCAACACTGGAGCAGGTTCAGGTACATTCAGGAGCCATTGCATGCCCAGTACTTGCCAACAGTGCGTAACAGAGACGTGACCGATCGCCCAAGCATCTAACGAGCCGATCAGTGATAATAGAGACTACCGATCGCTGAGGAAGTGCTGAATGTAGGAATGTGAGGAGTGGTGAGGCTATCTATATTTTAGGAAAGATTGCATATGTGTGGTAACATACTGTGTTTTATTACAATTAATTTTAACCACGTTTCTACCTTCCCATTCAGAGATGCTGCACAGATCCGCATTGATAGATGAGAGATGAGAGAACAAAGTGGGGGAGAGAAACCATAAGAAGAAAGCTTAGAAAACAACGACTTGTGCCATACCCTGTCAAGTGCTTTGGAGATGTCGAGGGCCACGACGAAAGTTTCCCCTTAATCCCGTAGAGAGGATGACCAAAGATGGGTGCAGTAGGAGAGCAGATTGTAGTGGAATTCTCCCCTACAAACGCTGTTTGTCGCTGCCTAGCCGACCCCACCAATTCCCCAGTGTATGCCTCGTGGTCTAGGTCAACCAGCGCCGCCATATCGAACCTACACCAACCAGCCAGCAACACCTCCGCCTGCCTGGCGGCCCTCGCTCCTCCGCCTGCCTGGCGGTCCTCTCTCCCGCCGGCGAGCATGGCGACCCACAAGCTGTCCTTCTCTGGGCGTCCTCACCAACCAGCTCTCTCTACATCACGCTTGTAACCATGCTGCCTTCCCAGCACCAAGCTGCATTGTACATCCAATACAACATGTATATAGAGAGCACATTGTGAGTTTCCTTTCTCCATCCCATCCTGAGTGTGAACCAAACATCTCATACCCCACAAGATCACCAATAGATCTCACCTCGAAGGCCATACTGGTGATCGGACAATAGAGAAAGGCGTTCAAGGTGACGGAGAAAATGAGTTTAAGATAGTTTCGAAAATCTTAGAGAGGGATGACGTTGAATAATTGGGAGATAGATAGATGGATTAGAATGACCACCCATCTTCGGGATGGGCTGAACCGAGGCATGCTTCCAAGAAGAAGGAAAAGTTTGGGTTCTGAGGCAAAGGCGAAAGAGGCGAACAAGCACAGAGGCCAGAATTTAAGCACACTCCCTCAGAACACGAGAGGGTATTCCGTCCGGTCCAAGCGCCTTACTCACACCCAACGTGGATAACACACCAGCAACCCTACGAGTGGAGATTATAGGGAAGTGTATAGGTTCAGTAGGATGAGTAGGAGGGTAAGAGTTGGAATCGTCTAAGGTGGAGTTAGAGGATAATAAGGTGCCAAAGAGATTGGCTTTGTCAGGGGGACAATTGCCTTATAGAGTTATCAGCTCGGAAGAGAGGAGGAAAAGAAGGAGTGCAGAAATTATTATTATTATTATTATTATATTAATATCATTGCCACCAGCCGAATCTGGAGAATTTTATATTTTCAATCAACAGTTCAGACAATTCTATGACACTTTTTCTTCTAAAACTTTTCCCTCGCAAATGACCTGTATTATTATTATTATTGTTATTAGCCATTTAATTAAAGTGATAACTCGATTGGTTTCTTTAATACCACGGTAGCACCTCTGAACTTACTCAAAGTCATTTATTTCCTCTATGTTATCTAACCCAGTCATTTAAGTCCCGCATTTAAATTCTTCATGAAACTGCTTATATACGTCCATTTTCTCGGATGTCATAAAAGAAAATGGAACTGTCAAATGGGAGGACTTTAACTTTTTTGTAATAATTGTAGGATGCAGCAGTTGTGTTACTTCAGTGTATTTTATTTTGTTTATTCTCTTCGCTACTGATGGGTCTGTTAGCCGCATGGGAGGTCGGTTACGTCTCTGTTGGCACTGAGGAGTGAGGGCATGTATTGGCTCTCTGTTGGCATACTCATTATTAATTATATAGATGCATTATCCCAATGGTTTTTTTTAAGTATTGATTAACTGTAATAATTATATTTTAGTGGAAATTTCATCACAATATAATCCGGATTTAAAGAGAGATGTTATTGTTTTGATGAAGCTCCAGTCCAGTGAGTGACCAGTCATTCTGTCCCAGTCAGTCAGTAGCTTCGTGCGAGCCTCATAAAAGAAGGACATCACCAGAAAATATGATTTACACTCGAGAATCAGTAATGGCACTTATGGAAGAGAAAGAAAAGTTAGAGCAAACTATCAAGGAATTATGGGATGTGTTGAAATCAGTAAGTTCATTTTTATTTGGCAATGTATGAGAACACCACCAGGAGTTGTTTGATTTCCTTCATTTTTGGGTTTTATTTTACTTTCGGACATAGCGCGCCCCAAAGTTATAAACTACTGAAACATTTAGATCTCCCTATTCTTAGCATTTTGAACCCCATTTACACTAGTTTGAAATGAATATTACTGACCAGGGTGTCCGGTGGGCAAAGCCCCCCGATTAGGCTACATTTGGTTAGGATAGATTAGGTCAGGTTAGTTGGTAATTTTTAATTAGTGCACACAACTTTCCTACCCCAAATTTATTATCATTCGAAAATGACATCTAATTTTAAGATAATTTTCTTCTATTACATTACCGTCGCAAATGTATAATAACGGAGATAGTGCATGCCAAATCTTTCTCTATTTTCTAACATTAATCTTCTGCCATTATCGCCTACCCAACCTCCCACTCAGCGCGTTTCCTTCATAAATCGCCATGCGTTCCTGAACACGTCACATGGCCAATCAAAAAACATTTTTTTTTGGGGGGGGCACCAATTAAAATGAATTGTGGTTTAATTTGCGGTATTTTTTGCCCAATCAGAATCGATTGTGATTTTGGGTCATATATTTCGAAATTCAAATTCATTTCCGACCATAGAAGTCTGCGATGGGTGTCACTTCAATTATAGGGAGTCGATTGTGCATTTTAGGGAAAAAAAACGAACAAGCTATAGCATGTTTTAGATCTCATGGTGTTTTCCTGACCTCAGTAAAGTACTGTATATTAAGTGGAAGAACGAGTGTAAATATTGTCAAGACCAACATAGGTGGCACGAACCAAGCCAATAAAGTAAGATATAAGTTATTCCATCATTTGGTGATAGTTAGGTTAGGTCAGGTTAGGTCAGGTTAGGTTAGATTTGGTTTATGTTTTTCTAGTGTTTTTTTTTTGTGTGTACAGTATTTTGTATTGGCTTGGCCATGATTTTTGTAGGAAAATGCCCCACCCAAAACCCCCGATAACTAAAAAATAGGCAATTTCCGATGGAAATCAAGATCAAAACCAATCAAAACACAAAAATACACTAGAAAAACATAGTTTTGAGTTTCTAACAGAATTGTGTGCACTAATGCAAATTTACCGGTTAGTTTAAGATAGGCCTACCGGGGGTTCGGTGACGGAGTCCCCGGCTAGGGGTTAGGTAAGGTTACGTTAAGTCAAGTTGTTAGGTTAGGAACGTGAGGTCAGGTTAGGTTAGACGAGTCGTTTACATGTTCTCCCTTACCCAAAAACCTCGATTTCCCAAGCTCTCCCCCATTATTGTTGGGGAGTCGTGATGGGGCAAAAACGAGCAATTTCCGCCAAAAATAAAGGTCAGATTTGCTTAAAACGCACCAAAATACACTGGAAAAACATATTGGTCAACCTCTAGGGACTCATGTCCGAAAGTAAAATTTACCCATTTTTGCCACAGATGTTCTTATCATTATATTAAGTACAGTATTATAAAAGAGCCAACATTAACTAAAACCTAATAGAACCAGACCTAACCAACCAAAGAAACCTACCTAACCTTACCTAATGTCATGGCTGGGGTTCCGACCCCCGGACCCCCGCCATATTAAACAGAAAGTACTTATTATGGTTAAAGGTTTACGAAACAGCTATCACTAGAAGTTGTTTGTTGATTTTCTTAATTTTGCAATACTTATTGTTTTGATGATTTTAATTACTGAATATTAAAGGAAACGACAACTTTCTATTATAATTTGAAGTATTTTTTAGGAATTTTTTCATTTACTCTATCCTACGATATTAAATTCCTTGTTAGTGGGCAGGGCATGAAAGATGAGGGAATTTACGGGGTAAAACACGGCGAACACTGATGTTATGCATTAAAATTATGTCTCTAGGTGCATTTCAAACACCCAAATCATTTTCTTACCATAAGTCAGTCTGGCTTCACAATTCCCCTGCTGCCGCCATTGCTCCTTCCTCTCCAACTTTATAAATTGTGTTCCATTACTTCTCATCCTTTTAATAAACATACAGCGGATGACAACACGCTCCGACAGTGACAGATTTTTCAGAGGAATATTTACGGTAAATAATTAATTTCTTCATGTACAAAGCATGTAGAGTCATCATTTTAGTACATAATCAGTACTGTGCAGTATGGTGCAGTATGGGTATATGGATTTTGGGAATGTTCTGTTAAGTACTTTTTTTCTTCAGAATAACATAGGTATGACCGAGTCAGTAATTGACAGTGAAGGTTACCCTCGCACAGATATTGATGTCTATCAAGTTCGTCATGCACGACACCAGATAAAATGTAAGTACTGTAACAAGAGCATCTCAACTCTATTTTTTTCCAGATATAATGGAAGCTACCCTATAAATTACCATACTGTTTAGTACAGTAATGTGTTAGGAAAAATTATTGGAATTTTAGTGCATGTACTTAAAGATCATTCATACACAAAATGCCCTCAGTTTCTGTGGTTTCAAAATTATTAATTTGGCACATCATAGAGAACAAATTTAGGTCATAGTCTCCAATTCTTCACTGCCACTCAATACCAATGGTGATGTGTGGAATAATAGGCAAAAAATTCAATATGGGATGTACAATCTCATTCAAGATTCTTCGAACACTGCTGGAGACAGCTGGCAACTCGAGGTCCTTTGTTTACTATAGTACATAGTATAAAATAATACAAAACAACAAAGCCCAACCATTAATTATGCAACGGAAAACTGAGTAACCAATCACCGAACACTTTTTACATTCATTCATAATTTTTGCTACGTACTATAGTAAACAAACAGCCTTGAGTTACCAGCTGTCTCCAGCAGTGTTCGAAGAATCTTGAACGAGACTGTACAAAAAATCTGTTTATTATAGAACAATTATCTAACATAAAGGATGTTTATTAATATTAGCAGACAGGCAGTCTTTGAATACCTCTGGGAATTATGACCCTGCCTTGTCAGTCATTCCCACCCTGTGGGTTGGCATAAAGAAGGGCATCCAGTTATAAAACATGGCTGGGCATTCAAAATAACAACCAGATCACCAGATCTGTGCCCATCCTCTGGTCACTGCTGGTCTGGGGTGGTGTCCTAGGTTTTACCCAACAGCTGTGATCAGGTAATCATAGCTAACCCACACAAGCCTGGAAAATGACTATATAACATTGTTGATGATGGTACTCAGACTATGAGCTTCCCTTAATTCAAAGTAGAATTACACAGGGCTCAGGCCGCAGGACCAAGGCTAGCCCTGGAAAAGTGACAGTTTCCAGACACCGCCACTGTGACTTCCTCACTTTGCTAACAAAATTTATTATAGGCACTGTACATTATAATACAGAACAACAGCACATATGTGTAAACTACAGGGATAGAAGACAATGAAAGAACTACTTGTATAAATAACACACTTACTGATGATACAGATTTACTTGATCATAATTCTTGTTATAAAGTGAGATTTCAGGATCATTCGTCCATTTTAGATCGAGAGATTAAAAAAGCAATAGTTGTCAAAAATTTGTCAAACATAGCATGTTGAGATGAATGTCTTGTGATTTAGGCACTTAATTTTTTTTTCATACTTTTGACAATGCGCTTCAAATGATCAGGTTAGCTAGAAATTATTTATCTGTGGTTAAGCTTGGTCCAAGAGTCATGAGGTCTTTGATCAGTTCAAGCATTCAGATTAAATAATAAACTTCAAATAAAACCTTTTTGTGGGTGTCTTATCCTCAGGTGCAACTAAAAAGAGATTTTTTAATCATGGTACTGTACTGTATTATGATAAGTTTTAATGTGCATTTGAACATTATACAACATTATTTTCAACCAACAAAATACAGATGAGCTCCCTGAGGATTAGGCTAAAAAATTGTGTTTAGGTGAGGTGAATGAAAGGTCAAGGTCACACAGAACTTCATTCATGATTACCATTGTTAAATTTTAACTAGGAAAATTTAATGTTTTAACACGCTCAGTGCTTTCATGTTACCATGAAGTTTTCAGATGGATCTGCAAGGTTATCTTTGGAAGCTTCATTTGTCAAATACCCAAATCATAGAGCTAGTGGGCAACTGCTTCTCGCATTTCAGATTAAATTTTGGCCTTCAAGTGAAGTATTCCAGACAGAATATCCGGTATACCATAGCCTTCGAGACTGGTCAAAGATTATCATCCCAACTTTAGGTAAAAATTTCAAATTAATAATTAGAAATTTAGGAAATAAACTAGATACCTGTGTTTTATGAATATGGATTTGTATGACACCATGTTAGCTTTCTGCAAATGACAGGTTTACAGAATGACCATTCAGCCCTACTACGCCGAATTGAGGAAGGCTTGGCTGTTGTTCTTAGCCCTTCGAGCACACAGGATCTAGACCCCAATGGCACCAATGTTTCTCCACCATCCCCAAATCGTGAGCCATTTGCTAAAGTGGATCATGTTGTTCTTGGGTCTCCAGCAAATATGGCAGTAAGTAGATGAGAAAGTTCAGGTCCTGTAATATGAAACAGGAATTCAGATTGTCTGTATTTTTCTTTCATACAGAAGGGCTGGAACAAGCGCTCCATCTTGTAGGTTTCTCACACATTCCACACCTACATACATAACTCATTTTATCAATAACTTCAGGCAACGTCAACTCTCCTTTCTTGCATTAGTTATTATCAACTTCTCCTTACCCCCTTACCATTGATAACAATTAAGTCAGCTGGAACTGAGAGTTTGGATCTTAAATGACAGCTCTTGGCTGAGTTTGAAGTGAAAGCCATGGTTCATATTGACTAACTGTCAGACATAGGGCTTTTGGAAGCCAGTTTTTTTTGGCTTGGGTTCAGTTTCGAAGCCAGGGGAATGGCTTTGAAGCCACAGGCCTGGCTTTGGATTTTCTTTTTACACTGACCATATTGTGACATCAGAGCTGACTTCTGACTTTTCTGTTCCCACAATGACCTGACCTAAGAGAGCCCAGGTGCATGCTACAGCTTCAATAACATCACAGGTGATCCTTCCTATTGGTCTATTCTCACTTGAACCTTGGACAAAAGCCACCTCTGTCTCCCTGCCTTCTCAGCCCCAGGTGCTGTTGACTGACCAACAGCACCTTTGAAAATCCTAAGATCATTTGTTATAATGAATAAATCAAACTAATAATGATGAATACTGAATTAGAAAAAACAATGAAGAAACAAAGTTTATAAAGATAAATTGTTACTCTAAGCAAACCTTTTAGTCTGAAGAGATAGTCAAAACTTACCGCAATAAAAATTGGCTTACTTCAAAGCCCTAATGCTGCATTGAATATCATATGTATTCCCATCAACATGTGAGGTTATACATACTGTACTACTGTATATTATATGGCAACATCTCATTTCATCTACTCCTCATTGTGTCTACTCCCACAGCATTTACTCTCAAAATAGATAATATTCCCATTTAGTCTACATCCAATTCAAATTGTATTTATTCAGTAGATATGTCCATTCTGCATACAGAATACTAAATACAATAATTAAAAAGGAGAAAATAACTGAGGATACTGACAGAAGCTACAGAAAAACAAGCTTATACTGGATACAGTATATATACTGTACAGTTGACCTCAAGGGCTAACAAAACACAATGTGACCTCAGGCCTGACTCCTGGTCAAGAAATTGAACTGGATTACACAGCCTGTCATCCCAATGATCTCAGTTCATTTCAGCTTAATTTTGTTTATTTATAAAAATTATTTTGTTGTTGCTATTTTGATGCATTAGTAAACCATTTCTGTGCTTCCCTTCATTGAGGTTGAAATATTAACCTTAAAAAAGAGGGTTCAACAATTTACCTTCCAGTTAAAGAAAGACTATCCTGACTACGAAAAATGCGGATTGGTCAGATGAATAGGCAAACTGAAAATCTTTTACAATAACCCTTAAATAAATTGATTTGTCAATACTGCATTGTATATCAGCATCCATCTGGGTTGCAAGATGGCAAACCTGTCCACGATTTGGCTGATGTTTAATTCCTTTGTGAGGTGAATCTACATCAGAGTCAGCACCTGTGGTCACCTACCCTTACTTCCACCCCCTTCCCTAATAATGTGTCATTGGCGGTAATCCTTGTCATGTGAGGTCATAACTCCTGTCACCTTACGTCTACAGCCTCTCAGATTGGCAGTTCCTTTGAAGTGTTGACAACTTGACAATGACTAACTCGAGGCAAGTAAATACAATGTTATTTCTTAATATTGTGAATTTTGTACATAATATATAATCATGATGACACTCATAATTTCATTTAAAATGATCTTGCATAAGTAATAAGAACAACATGTTTATGAGACTCAGCTTACTGAATGTCAACAACTATATACTGTACAGCAGCATGATAATTTTCACATAATATTAGTATATGATATATTGTAACATTAAGGCACAATAACATTAAATGTGTAAAGAAAGTTTCAGGGATCATTAACTGATGTAGACATTCTGGGAATACTGTGACATCTTCAGAGTAGACAGAAAGGGAGTAGACAAAGTGGGCGTAAACCTGTTATACAGGTATAAGTAATGGAGATAAATTTTCATGCAACCTTGAAAAACCTTGGCTCTGGCTTCATGAATTTTTAAATGGCTTCAGTTTTGTGACTTCCAGTGGTTTCAGCTTTGAAGTTGGAAACTTGGTTTCAGCCCAAGTCCACTAACCGTGCATCATCATCACTCACTGCCTTCTACCTTAAGTGGTGGCTGTTTTATTTCAAAGCAACACTGTACTTATGTTTAGTTTCTTACTTATACTTAAGCACTGCATAACCTATCAACACTAAATTAATTTTTTAATGATCAAGTGATACACTCTTCATTTGTACTAATGTTTTAGGGACTGCAAGAGAATGACCTGTTGACACAATTTGGGTCTATCACCTGCGACAACTTCCGCAGCCTGGTCAACATATCACAGATTGTACAGAACTCCATGAATTCCCCCATCCAGGTAAATACTGATATTTTTTCACTCCTCTCTATCTTTACTCTTACTAATTTTTTCCTACTATAGCTCAGGGTAATCAGAATTAAGAGCACCTTACATTCCCCCTCATTTGCTGTCATTCATGCCCCAACTGATGTGTTCTGCTGTGCTACTGATCATATGTTTATTTATTCAATACAGGTACGGTAGTAAATAGTAGGTTTCAGTTGACCAGGTATCATATCTTGTGAGGGATGCTTTGTCTCTTTAGCCAGAGTTACCTGGCCACTTACCTGGTGGCATGGTATACACATCTTCAGACCCAAAAAACTATCTTTACAATATTTCAATTTTTTTATACAGTATTCACTTGCCTTAATAATGTTTCTTTTCCTGTCTCACTGTTTGGTACTTTCCCCTTGAATAATTTTGTTCTGTCAGCAAACAATCTCCCCCCCTCTCTCTCTCTCTGCTGAAAGATTTATATTACTTAGTGTAAACCGTGTCAAATTTATTTTGGCAGCTATACTGTACTGTAGCAAGTTATAAAATTATCCAACAAATTTATTGGCATTTCTTTTGCATATTGAGCATAAATTTTTTTTTAAACAACTATAAACATCAATTTTGAGGGAAGGTTATTGTATGCTTGATCCTTCTTGGAATACAGGAAAAATATGTTTCACTCTGTTAGTATTGTATACCTATGCCACCTGTCAATTCGTATATTACGTTGTCTTTTATAAGTGATTAATTTTTCCTCTAATTTTAGCTATGACTTCTTCCAAAGAGATGTAACCTACTGTAGAAATGTTCTGTTTTCAGATTACTGTGAGTCGCAATGAGCAAAGTGTGACCCTGACTCTCACTCCTCGTCAGTGGTCTGGTCGTGGTCTTCTTGGATGCAATATTGTCCCTATTGATAGACCAGACCGTAAGTTATTAATATACACCTTGTCATTTATAAACTACACAATGTCATTTATAAACTGTTTTTATAGGCTAAGTGTTCGATTTAAACCTTATTACAGAGTTTTCTATTTAAAAGTTTTGAGCCTTTTCTACAAACTTATTAAGGAAGAAGTAAATAATTTCTCATAAAGTACAGGAGGAAGAGTAATTATAAGTTTATGAAATAAATTCCACCAGTTTGCAATAGACTTTTATGCCACAAAGAACAAATGATGTACAGTACAGTACTGTACAATGGATGTATGTACATATATGAAGAGTTGGCTGTGCACCAATGACTTTTGTTGTCTAACCCATTTGTGTTGCTACACTAAAATTATAATAAGTTTTTGCTGCTGGAAAGTTGTGTATTTACAACCGTTATGCATGGAGAATCCCCTCATATTTTTTCTCTAGCGAGTGTCGAGTTCACACCCAAAAATCATTAGTTTTACATAATTTTGACAGTACAGGAATACCCCAGTTACTGCAAGGGATGCATTCTTAAAAGAGTGTGTGTGTGTATGACATTTGTAAAGGAGACTAAACATTTAAACTAGCATATATCATTGCCATATGAAGAATTTTAGAACGTTCAGTGTATTTTTCACACTACGCTTTGGAAGTACAGTACAATACAGGTACAGACATGGGATAAGAGTCTCCCTCGTTTGAATTTTCTCACTCATGCTCCATATGAATGGTCCCATTGCACTTCATTAATTTCTAATAAGCGTGGGTCTGTACATGCGGGGAAAAACACTCATGTGAAGCGGGCCTTACATCGGAATATAAGAGTTGCGGCTTGCTCGCCCAGTTTGAAATATTACTGTAGGGTATCCTAATTTTCATTTGCGAACAAGCGGGGTATGCCTTGCGAATATCAAATAGGGGTGTTAAAATAACAATTGCAGATAAATGGGGTTGCAAATAGGGAGGTTTTCCTGTATTGGCTTCAGAATCGTTTTAGCTTTCACATAAGCTTAAAAAAAATGAATCGGAGAAAACAACTTTAAAACACTGTTTTTTGACTCTGCATGCAAATGAAATCCCAGAAAACTATCCCCACTTCTTAGCTCAAAGTTTTCTCAGGCTAAAATGGTGCGCTATAAATCACCAGATGTGGAAAATTACAAGTTTCCAACAGTCCGATCATATTTTTATACGACTAATAATTTTGAGGTAAATTGAAAAAAAATGAGTGAAATGGGGCATTTTTTTCATATTTCTTTGTATATATGTTATGAATGTTATCAAATTGCATTGTAATTTATAGTAGAATAAATGATTTTTTGAACTTTTTTTTTGTATGGCATGTATGGATTGTAGTAATCAAATCTACCTCAAAAAATTACGTACATGTGTAACTCGGCTCTTTACCCCACTGTTTACGAAATCATAAAACCTATGATTATTATAATCCAGTATAAACCTCGGTGAAACTAAATAAACTTCCATATAACTAAATGAACCAAATATAACACCTCACAAAAGCAAGCATGGGAATAGTGGGAGCGAGACATGATTCTTAATTATTGTTCAAGGTTTGAATATTCAAGTTGTACAGAACAGTACGTTTAGTATTTATGAAATCATATTAAAAAATTTAATAACTGACAATATTCAAAGCATTATTTCACAATCTCAACACTGAAATCCGAGCTTGTGGCTGGGCAATGTGAGCGACAGGAGATTTAATTGAAGGGTCTGTGTACTGTAAGTGACATACCAGGTTAACTGCCAAGATGCAACTGAAGCAAAATTGTGTATGCACTGCCCCACTCAACTCCTTGACCCTCTGATTGCTACGGTTCCCTCAGTTGAATAAAATTTATGGCATTAGCCAAAATAAAATTTTCAGGCATTAGCCAGAATAAAATCCTAAAGTTGTTGCTCATAGCACTCATTGGGAGCCTATGACATGCTGAAATTTGATGCCCCTAGAATGAAAACTTGATTGGCAAATACTTTTCATTCTGTGATGCTAACCAGTTTGTATGGAAGTGGACTAATTGGAGTCACAAATTGTTCTTTAAATTAGATTTTCTTCCTGTTCTTGTGTGAAGAAAGTTCATAGAAGCAAAGTCATCATGGAGGGGAACTATGGAATAAGACACAGTCAGGGACTATGTCATCTTCAGGTGACCCTTGTTTAACTCTTGTAATTTGTGTTAATTAATTATGTACTGTAATTTTTTATTTACCTGTACATTGGAAACTTAAGATTCACATGAGCATAGAAGGGATGAAATACAGGTGTAAGGGCTTACTCATGCAGTGTTCAAACTTATTTCACATTTAATCTACAAGTGTTACATTGTGCTGGTTTAGGCTACAAGTTTTTCACTAATTACAGTAATTTATCTAATTGCAGGGTGAGAGAATCTACTGAGCTGATTGCACTTGAATCACAACAAGTTTATATTTAGTTTTCAAAGAGTTACTTTCCTGGATTAATTTGTATAATGGAAACGGTTATATACCTTTATAATCAAAACTTATATTCTTATTGGCATTGTAGATGAATCATAGGTCCCGATATAAGCTGTTTGTACAGCTGCATGTAAATTAATTTTGAAGGAATAAATGCAACATATGTCATCATTGTTTTTTATTTAGATCATTGTAACCAGTAAAATCCATGTGCAAGTTTACTGGATAAATTATTTTCCAAATGGTTAAACTGTACAGTATTTTGACTACTATACCCTTTCCACACTAACCTGGCCTTAGGCCCCACCCCTCATCTATACAAACAGCTGTTCACAGAAAATTCAAACTAAATGTGATCATAATTGGTAAGCAGACCTGTTATTATCTAAAATAATGTTAAATATATGGATAATCAAAATGCAAATAATTTCAAGGCATTAGCAATTCAGAAAGGATGTTAGAAAATCTTAAATGTTTGTTATGAAAGGTCGAGATAAATACCCACTTATACAGTATACACGCAATCCGAGGGGAGGTAAAATGCTTATGGGAACCAATCAAATATTTTTAGCTGTAGACGAGAGGCGAGGCTTACGGGCCAGCTTAGCATGGAAGTATTATAGGTTATGCATGTTCATTCATTACTACAGGTATTAAATGCTTTAGATAGAACTAAATCAAAGAAAACTACAGTTGATAAAGGATTAATTTATGTAACTCATTTACATTTAGCATGTACAGTGAACCCTCGAAGATCTGGACTAAAATGGGTGACCACCAGTTAGTAAAAGCCGATTGTCAATATTTTCCAGTGAATGTAATGAATAAGAACGATAAATAATGACATAAAAAAACACCAAAAATACAGTACCGTATTTTACAGCATACTTTTGGTTGTATTATCCTTCTGTAGCCATAGTTTTCTTAAAATAATATATGCAATACCAGGAAATGTGAAGAATAAATAAAAATAATAAAAATAAATAAGTTACAAAGTTTTTTTTTATTGCCAAATCAGTAAATAAAAGCCAACTGAAAGATTGATACAGTCGCCATTTGCATACACTCCCTGCTTCACCATAGTAATGAAGACCAGCTGGGACGCCGATTCCCTGGCAAAGCTCCCCACCCCCTACACTCTGCACTTTCCTCCTGCTACGTGTTTGCCCTAAGGACAATTATTTCTTTTACTTTTTTCACAATACGTACCGGTATGTAGGATGGTGTGTATATGTAACGAAGTAAAAATAAATGAAGAAAGTTACGTTTATCTACCCAGAAATACGAGTTGAAAAACAACCATAACACCTCACAGCTTGGCCCAATTGCATTTCGTCTTATTAATTCGCCTCCTTTAGTTGACAATCTTTCTTCCCTTTCTCTTTGCTGCAATGTTGCTTCACTCACTCTCTTTTACAGGTACTTTAACGGGCACTGTTCAATGGACTTGGCATCATGTGTATCGTTGGCAAGGCCGTGGGGTCGTAACACTCGTCTTGCCTTCGGTGCCCACTGTTTCTCTGTGGATGTCGGTCACTCTAGAATAATCCGTTATAGTGCATCCTTCTTTCCTCACACAGCCAAACTGTGGAATGCTCTGCCTTCTTCAGTGTTTCCTTACTCATACAATGTCTCACTTTAAAAAGCTGGTTTTCCGGCATTTTCGTGGTGTAGATTAATATAACCGTTTCCTTTTCTATTTTTAACTTCTTTCTATTCTTATTTTTTCGCCCCCTAGGCCCCGTTGTGGGTCGTTCTACCTGTGCCCGGGTGGGCTAATTCCCGTAAAAAAAAAATACTCTACTGTACTCACTAGCAGATGCTGTTGTCTTGAACTTGTGATGCAGGCAGGCCAAATGGTGATATGATGATGCAGGATGGCCTGCCTTTATCCTGTACCATCTCCTGTAGCAGGTGTTGCTAACTGTCAGTCTCCTCTCCCTCCATGAAAGAGAGATTGTACTTGCACTGTATACTGTACAAACACCCTCTACACACTAGCATACACTGTCCACTACGCTATGTCGAGTACTGAACATATTAGGGATAATAATCATGTCATGGATTGGAATAACAATATAAATGTGTATAAATCCTCGTGTACCACAGAAAGACTTCTGGTTCAATCAAGTCTAATTAGAGAAACAAATTCTATAAACCTTAGTGACGGTCAGTACAAAACTGATAACATACAGGTATCCCCTGATTTATGATCTCCCTATCTACAATATTTTGTTTGAACCCCCCTTTTTACAAAAAAAATATTTGCATGAATGGTGGTCATTGTCTGGCCAAAATAGCTGATGTGGGGAATATGGAACACATCTCTCACTGCACTTGTCAGCTGCGGTCTACCCATGAACGGCCACCTGGTGCACTACAGCCCCAAGCTTTGTTCCACGGTGATCGCACATGCCTGTTATTGTGTAGCTCAACGATTATAAGTCAGTATCGGTGTTTTTACTTATCATCAGTATTTTTATTTTTTTACCTTACAGTGAGAGGACATCACTAATGTGTTTTGGTGACTGTGAAGTGATATTTGCTATGTTTTTTGTAACTGTAAAGCACTTTGTCTCTGTTGTTGTGAACATGATGTGAGCAGTGTTGGCTGCTATCATTGTTATCATTGTTCGCTCTGTTTTTGTGACTGAAGTGAGCAGTGTAAGGGAAGGCCAAGGCACTCAAGAAAACTTTATCTCTGGAGGTGAAACATGACATTGTGAAGCAGTGTGGGAGTCAAAGTGACATCTCCACTCCACCTTCAAAAGTCCTCTTAGCCTCGAAGGGGACATGTGATGACGACCAGTGTTGTTATATTACATTTAATGTACAGTGAACCCTCACTTTACGCGGTTAATTCAACCCACGGCGGCCCGCGTAAAGTGAACAACATAACATATGGGATTAATTGAAATAGAGACCGGGCTGACCCCGAAACTCCACTTTTTCAGACACAATACCTACGTTGTAGTAAAAATAACTTCTTAATTTTATGATGGTATGCACACACAATTAATAATTAAGAGAAATATCAATAATATTAGGTTTTTTAACACTTACATTAGTAGAAAAGATGGCTGGGCACACGGGGATGGGGGGTTGGTTCCGAGGCAGAGGGCAGATTATTATTGGCCCTCACCTGTATCACTATCCATCACAGAGGCTTGCAGGGCCTCTTTGTCAAACCCCTCAAAGTCCATATAAATCCATATCCTCACTATCATTATCACTATCACTGACTTGGGCCGGCTGTGGTGGGTGGCGGGTGAAGAACTCGGTAATGTTTTGATGACTGGGCGACCTTGTGCGCACCCTGCTCGCGCCGCTCTCCGCGTAAAAGGGTACACACACCGCGGAAAGTGAGCATTCCGGTTTCGGCAGGGTACCGGTTAAACGTGGAAATGCGTAAAGTGGGACTGAGTAAAGCGAGGGTTGACTGTATATTATTGTCGGAATTTTATTTTTGGTGATATATGTGGGTGTCAGACTGGCTGGGAACGTATCCCATTGACCCCCATATTATAATGATCCTGATTTACGTTATTTTGACCTGCGGTGGGTTTTTCAGGAACTGCTACAGTTTTGGGGTAAAATATCAGGTCATGGAGTCAGTGAAATTTGTAATTATCATTTTTTATGAAAAATTTTTTATGCTTCAGCTATTGAAAATGACAGCATCTAAAATATATTCAAACATTAGATATTCAAGAAAGTTTGAGGGATGTAGCCCACTACCCCCGCCCGTGGCCATGCGAGGAATTAAACGATCTGTAGAAAAAAAGGGAAGAGAGATTTCTGTGGCATTAAAAAAGCGACTATCCGTGGACTGCCTTAGACAGGCACCACCCAAGAGCTCATTTTTAAACAAAAAAGAATTGTAGAATAAAGTATCTTGGACGATGATTTTTCTACTGACTTAGATTCTTGGCAAATAAGTCGTGGAGAAAGACACACAGTACTATTACATAAGGCTTATTGGTGTTATTGAAAATTTTATTAGTTTTTTTCAGTTGCTCAAATTTTAACTTTCTGTAGACTCCCAAAATGCCACCTAGGGTTGTGCCCACTCAACTAACATTAACAAAATATTTACAAACTATATATTCTAAGAGTTGCAGTAATCAATCAGAACTACATTGAAAATTAACTGCAATAAAGGTTATAAAGAAAAAGTCAAAATGGAAAAAGAATTTAACTTTTATGTACAGCAAACATATTTATACAGATGTACAGTACACATTACATTACTGGTTAATGCCTTGATGATACTTGGCTCACCAAGAAGTTACTCAGGGTTCTGTTGAAACTCAACTTGGAGCCACTCAGGGACTTATTGAAATGATGTTCATCAAGGAGAAGATATAAAAGGGCTTGGTAAAGCTCAGCTCACTAAGAACAAGCTATTCAGGGTCTTGATGAAGTTCTGTTTACAGGATCTGTTAATCAGATTATTGGTAAGCCTTCACTTACCATGTGAAGATATCCTTTGTGTCTATGAGACAAGTTCCACAAAACATCTTAAAATTTTAGTTATCCAGTACATACTTCAACAATAAGTTATTGTAATTAGTCTTCACAACAATTACCATAATTCACCAGGGGGAAGTATTTAGGGTAGTGGTGTAATTGAGCTCACCAAGGAGATGTTCATGGTTCTAGCAAAATATTAATTATTCAGCACACCAAGAAAGAGCTGCATTGCCTTGGAGGGGTTGGACGACAGGGATGTTGGCAAGAGGCACCTCAAAGGATTCCAGTAGGCATTCAACTTTAAAATGGATTAACAGCCTAAGGACAAAAAATACAAATATATCTTTCAAAATGAGATTGATTTTCTATTGGACAATGAAAAAATAGTCGACATTCAACCATCTGAACATTTTTCATAAGGTATTGCCATACAACATGATAAGATACCAGTATACATTTGTTCAAAATAACACAGTTTGTAATGTAGTTTTACACATTGCAAAACTTAAAAAATATCTAAAATTATGTGACTTAGCTACAGCTGTATGCATTAAGACACCACCTACCATCTAGGAGACACTTATACACATGGGTACTGTATAACGATGTAATGGAAGGGTAGGTGTACTGATGGTGTGATCCAGGCTAAGTCCAACACTGCCATGACTGCCACACTGGGTAGAATTAATAGTACTGTGCAGTACTGTATCTTGATATGGTCAAGATTGCAATACAGTATATTTATACACATCATTTGTAAGCCAACTATATCAATGTTTGTTTATATCCATGTACATCATTATTGTACATTCATACATATTTTAGAAGCTAAGTATTTCATGTCATACATACTGTATTTCAGAAGCTAAGCTAGAGTAGTGTATTCCATGTAATATCCCTGAAGCTACATGATCACACTTGTATATAACTTAAGCAAGGTTATAATAAAGTACTGTAGTTTTATTCACATATTTGTAATTAAGTAGTATAAAAATTATTTAACATACACATCATGGGTGGACAAAAAGTTATAATTGGTTGTCAACAATCATTATAGCTCCCTAATGCATTCTATGTTCATCGAGTAATGAGGATTTAACATACAGTTTTAGATTCATGCATTAGCTACATAACCCAGGCAGTAGGTAAATAATCTATGCAAAGGCAATTCTCTAATTTTAGTATTGTGCTCTCTATTACATTCAGAATGAGAGCATGGACTTGGCCTCATAAGCACACCATCAAGTTTGCCCAAATATAGCGAGGGTTGGACAGGTAAACTCACCACAGGCCACCATCATGAGAGCTTAACATTTCCAAGGTTCATTTACTGGCAGAGTGAAGGGACTGAAGGTTTATTACTAGTGCAGTTAATGTAAGTCTTGGTTACATAGTCATAGTTATGTATTTGAATGTATGAAGATTTTGTTATAATCTCCATTGTAGTCAACATATCTGTATTGGGATCATGACAAGTTACTGCTGTAATCTTTGTTTGTTTAAATGGAATATTAGTGTGTCAAGTATTCATAAAACCTGATTGGTGTATAACTGCAAGTGTAATGCTGCAAGTACTGTAGTTCTTGCTGTGATCTGTTTGCAAGCATTATGTTCTATGTCATAGTTATAGGTACAGTCAACCACAAAAATCCTGTCTCCTCGCCTCCTGAACCCCGAGATTCAGATTCGTTAATCTGAAGCTTTTATGGGCCGAATAATGCATCAGTGTCTACTGCTTCAGGTTCACAAGCCTGAATCTCGGGGTTCATGTTTGAAGGGGAGAGAAGGCAGGACTTTTGTGGGTGACTGTGCTTGCCTGCTATTAGGCATGATTGATGTTGCAATCAGGATGTTGTGACCTTTCTTTAAAACAGGTAATGTAGTTAAATTTTGCACTATATTTACAGTACAGTACAGTACTTACAAAACTATGGTCATTATACAGTACAGTACATCACTTGACTCCTTGTTGTACTGTACAATACTGTACAGTACGTACTTAATATTTTCAGGGGGATTTGTTAAAAAAATAAATTTAACTATTGTGTCCAGTTTGACTGAGTATCTAAAGAACTATGGGGATCAGTTTTCACATGATAGACAGAGTACAGCATCCCTTGTATGTTAACCAGGATGTGTCGGAAAACACCTCGATAACTTTCATAATTGTTAACTTATTATCTTAACTTGTTGTGGGAAAAACAGAGATACATTCTGCACAAAACTCCATAATGTGGCATATTACCATAGGTTATGATGCTATATTTGTTTCCTAATTTTTAGAATATACTGTACAGTACATTACACCATTAACTCTTCTACATGTCATCTGCATCAATTTAACCTAATGAAATAATCTATTAACTGTGGAAGTACTGTAGTAACTTACAGCCTCAGATATCAGGTTACCTGTTGCCTAGCAGTTGTGATGATACAGTATTTTCTTCTACTCCAAATCTCATTTGTTCTTATTGCTCCATATTAAGGTGAGATCTTAGTTGAAATGACAATACAGTATTGATCAGCCCTGCAGTTATCTGTACCACCACTGTTCCCTGTTATCTCAACAAACTGGTGTCCCTACTATCTCCACAAGTTCTTCCTCTCTTCACCTCAACTTTTTCATGTTCGGTTCTTTGATGAAGTTTATCTATCCTAATTTTCTATATAAATAAAGCGCTTTACTTATTATCCTACTTCTCATTTATTTTGTTTTCAAACCTCTTCTTGAGTAAAACATATCCCAATATTTCTTTTAATTCATGACATGCCCTATCAGTAAAATTGTTTTGCATATGTATGTTTATGATGGTCAACTCAGACACATAGTAATACATGAGAAAGCTTCTTTTGAAATTTCACTTACTGTGCAGTATACTGTACAAGACAATTTTAGCGTGTCATGAAGTAAAAAGGTCATGTGTGTCATGTAGTGTGGCACTGTTGTCATACTTACTGCCCCTTACACTTTACCAGTCTATAAAAATAAGTCACATTGCTATGATCTTAGTCTGGCTCTCTTGTCCTCACACCCCACAGGCAGGATGCCGTTTGAGTGTGGGATCATCTTACGAATTTAGTATTATTACAACCATACTAACAGATCATTACAATGGACTGAGATTGATTGTTAATATCAATCTTTTGCTAAAGGACCTGATTACCGGACGGAGAAATGACGGATGACAAAATAGAGTCCTAAGGAAGTTGGTGATCCAGCTGGGGAATTTTAGAGTGGCAAACAAAATAATAATTAATTAAAATTAACATTATTGCTATTGGTATATACAACCACTACAATCACCACCCATAGAGCACACAATGAACATGTATAGATTCTAAATAAGCTATGTAATAAAGTGCTACACATTTTAATTTTTCATCATTCAGCGATATACTGTAAATCTAACTACTGTATCATTTTTGTGCATTTTTGTTCCAATAACTGAGGATGAAAACAGGTCCTAAATCTAAACTGCCAGATTACTTTACCCAGAAACTGCATGATAATAGGAAAGTGTACTAGGGATGGACACGTATGATTGTACTGTATACATAATAATATATATTTGATATTCTGTAGTCCAAAAAGCTGGTCACCTTGGGCTCTCTCATGATCGTGGGCCTGATGACACTCAAAGTTAATAAAAGCACCTTTATCGGAAGGTTTTCTCAATACACATATTCACTTACTCTCTCAGTCGCTCACTCCCATTTTCTTACTCTTTCACTCTTCTCCACTTATGCGTGGCTATAAGCTGTGGCACTGAAAAAACACCATCTTGCAGCAGAGATATGTAGAAATGATTTTCCTGGAGGGACATCTACTGCAGAAGTTCCTGGAGAGAGGGAACAAATGTTTTTATTTTAATTTGTGAGTTAAAGATGAGAATTACTGTCTATTCAGATAAGCTTGGACAATAATTTTATTGTAAAGGATTTTAATGTTAGAGAATTTTAATATCAGGGGATGATACTGTGTTGAAATGGTACAACACAGGATGAGTCAAAGAGAAAACACAATGTATGAGATGAGGAGGATTGAAATATAGTATTAAGAAGTATCACTAATGGAAGGGATATAAACTTGGAGGCAAAGAAGGGATGAAGGATATGGTGCTTTACTTTATCTTCTTCACTACTGATTGCCTCATTAGCCACTTGAGCAGTCAGTCATGTCTCTGTTATGCACTGCTGACAAGTACTGGGCATGTACCGGTTCCAGAATGTATCTTCTGGTACCAGTGTTGGTCAAGTCTGGTCTTGAATGGCCTCACACTCAGTGCAGTCACAACGCAACACACTCTGCCAGATTGTTCCAGGAGTTCACAAAAAGTTTGTCCTGACACTTTTCTGAACTTGTGGCTTCTTCAACCTTAAGCTGTGACCCCTAGTGGGGCAGGCATCTGCCTGCTCCAGGTATGAACTGATTAATATCTTCTGAGGCGTTTATAAACCTCTATTAAGTCACCCTTGCCCGCATATAGTATAAGCTAGACAATTGCAGGCATTCTAATCTCTCTGGGTACCTGAGATGCTGTAGTGCAGTCTCTAGCATATCTTGGGGGACCAGATGGGGTGATAGTACTCCAAGCAGGGAAGCCCTTCTTGTAAAACCCACTAGCTTAGTGGCTTCATTCACCTTCTTCTCACAATGGTCCGAGAACTTCAGTTCATTGTCAACATACACAACCAGGTCCTTTTCACATTTGGTCTCCATTAATGCTGGTTTTGTTGTCCTATTGGGATGACCTAGGTGCATCATCTTGCATTTCATGACATTGAATCTTAACAGCCATTCCTTTGACCTCTTCTGAAGCTGACAAAGATCTTTCTGTAGCTCTTCACAGTCAGTTTGGTTCTTAATTTCCCTGAATAGCATAGCACAATCTGTGAACATTTGTTTAGAGGAGTGTATAGTTTCTGGCATGTTATTTATGAAACAAACAAACAACAATGGGCCCAATACACTGCCCTGTGGTTCCCTGGTTGTCATGGGTACGTATGGCAATTTCATGCCATTAATCACCACACACTGCTTGCGGTCACGAAGAAAGACTCTGATCTATGCTAGGACACTCCCCTTAATTCAGTACCCTTCCAGTTGAATTTTCAGCCTATCATGGCATACACAGTCAAAAGCCTGGCAAATTCCAGAAATATACAGTATTGTCGATATTGCCACCACACTCCAGGATCTAGGTCCAAACATCCACACCTGAAATAATTGCATCAAGCAGGAGCATCCTGGTATAAAACCACATTGGCATTCCATTACTAAGTTGTTTTGCAGTAAATATTCCTTCATGGCATCTTGTATAATGCCCTCTAGTACTTACACACTATGCTGACAAGCTCACTGGCCTATAGTTATTTGTGAAGTGGTGATCCCCTATTTGAATATAGAACTCACATATGCTCTTTTCCAGTCACTGGGGATCTTTTGCTTGTCCATCCATCTACAGAACAGAACTTTAAGGGGCTCATCAGTCTCATTGCACATATTTCTTAGCACTTTGGGATACATGCTGTCAGGGTCCTGGCTCTTATGAACCTTTAGTTTTGACAATTTGTGTCTAATACTGTACAGTAATATCACCATTAGCTGGAACAATTGGAGCAGAGCAGTTCCAGGTTTGAGAGATTTCCAGATATTGAGATGAATTCTCTTATCCCTGGAAAAAATTGCACATGTACGGAATTTTTCTGGGCACCGGTGAATGTTTCCATGTATAAACTATGCATCTGGAATGGAGCACTGTTGCTACAACGGCTTAATTGTAGTCAGACAGACACAGAGCTGTATTTATGTAAATAAACAAAACCTACTACTAAATACTCTATTCAGTACTGTACTCATTAACAGATGCTGTGTCTTGAGCTTGTGACACAGGCAGGCCAAATGGTGATATGATGATACAGGATGACCTGTTTTGTTCTGTACCATCAACTGTGGCAGCTTGGTACCACAGTTTTTTTTTTAACTTTTGGCATTGTACACATGCTGTATAATGTACACACACTCTACACATCAGGCTACAGTAGACATATACTGTCCACTCTGCTATGCACAGTACAGTACTGTACATTTACATATGGTATGCCCACACTTATTGAATGCTCTAATATGTCATGGAAGCCAAACAACCACAACATTGCTAAAGCTGCCCCCTGAAAGCTGGGAATGCTGTACAGATGTTGTAGCTACTTCACTCTCATATCTTGGGTGGCTCTTCTTCTGTCCAACTGTTAGATAGGGTGGAATCAAAGGCATTTCGTCTTATTAGCTCTCCCCCTTTAGTTGATAATCTCTCTCCCCTTTCTCTTTACCGCAATGTTGCTTCAGTCTCTCTTTTACAGGTACTTTAACGGGCAATGTTCGGTGGATTTGGCATCCTGTGTACCACCGGCAAGGCAGTGAGCTCATAACACTCGTCTTACCTGCAGTGCCCACCATTTCTGTGTGGATGTCGGTCACGCTAGAATAACCCATTATAGTAGATCCTTCTTTCCTCACACAGCCAAACTGTGGAATACTCTGCCTTCTTCTGTGTTTCCATACTGTTACAATCTGTTTCACTTCTAAAGCTGGTTTTCCAGCATCTTCATGGTGTAGATCAGGGGTCACCAAACTTTTTTCACAGTGGGCCGGATAACTGAAAGAATGACGAGCGCGGGCCGCATAATATTTAAATTTAAATTGTATCACAACGTCTCGTGTTCCATACGTTTTATCAAGCAAATTCAAGTACCGTCGGCGGGCCTGATGAACTGACGTCGCGGGCCGGATCCGGCCCGCGGGCCATAGTTTGGTGACCCCTGGTGTAGATTAATACAGTATAGTATTTTTCTCTTCTATTTTTTAAATTATTTTCACTCTTATTTTTTTGCCCACCCCCAGGCCCCATTGTGGGTCGATGAAGTGTGCCCGGGTAGGCTATTCCCCATAAAAAAAATAACTTTTTACATTTTAACACTGCTTGGCTGATGTACAGTAATGTACAGTACTGCACAACACAGATCGTATGTGAAAACAGCAGAGAGTGAACAAACAAGCATGTACAATGACAGCAGATAGGCTAGGAGATGCATCTGCCAATCATAGGCATCCCATTCAGTCACATGACAGTACAGTAGTAGCCAATCGCAGTGCACGAGCCTATGGCCTAAGTTCTCCTTACAGCTAGCTCATCCACGTGGCTGGCATGCATCCTCGAAAGACATAATTAAATTGGAAGGTTATGGGATTTGGGGAAGTGCCCTAAAGTGGATCGGAAATTTTCTTCATGACCTCAAGCAGTGTGTGTGCTGAAATCGTCACATTGTAATGACCATGGTCGTACACGTCAGTTAACGTAAAATCAGATGATTCATATTACGGTTAATAGCCCACAAAACATGTAGCTATGCTTTCTTTATTTGAGTCCCTCATCTGAGGAGTCGGTTTTCTCATCGCTTCAGGACGCCTGAGTCCTCCGTTTTCTCTCAATCTTAGAGTGCACCTGAGACTTCGTTATTCCTTAGTAATGACACAGAATTTGAAATTGCAACTGTGGTTGCATATGTTGAGGCAACTTAGATATGTCTGATTACAGTTGGAACATTCAAGATCCATTGTGAGTGATGTTGAAAGCTTCAACTGTCCTTATTGTTAGTAAAACTTGTCAAGTAAGTGAGTGTCGAGTTTGTCAGTATGAGTGGCATATCCTTATATCGTCCTTGGGGATAGCCATGAGTTCCAAGTGCTACTGAAGTTAGATTATTTTGATGCCCGCCCAAACATCAGAGAAGCGGATGTTTGTAGTTTAGTTAGTGTCAGTTGTCTATTTTAGAAAGTCATTAATCTCCTGAAAAGATTCTGTCAAACTCAAAATCTCCAAGACCTAACGGCTCTTGTCAGGAAGAATTCCGTGGCTGTGGTTTGTGGCTTCCTGTAAGTAGAGTTGTTAGTGTGTGTTTAACGTCCATTTAACTTTTGCCTGACAGACTCCAACTCTGATTAGATTATAGGGATAGACGTGGAAAATTAGCTTGACCCATGACACTGATTTTCATAGTTGAGTGTACAGCGACCGAGTTGAATATGATTTCTGCTGTTGGTGAGATTAGCCTTTCTGGTATGTATGCATGGGCTGGAACTGCCCCAGGCTCACGTATATACGGATGCACAAGGAAAAATCACACGTTCGTGACTCTTCCTCAATGCATCTCCAGGTATGTGAACGATTGTTTCCCGCCACCATGTTAAGTCAGTTTAACTTAGTCGGTTTTGTGAATATCAGTGTTCATGTTTTAACATAGTGAAATAATCCTGTGCCAAGTAATTCGAGTAAAGTAAGTGTCATCTGTGTCGTTGCCAGACAAATGTTATGTGTAGTTGGAGTTAGACATTTACACGTTCGTGACTCTTCCTCAATGCATCTCCAGGCACTGTCTGTGTTGGCACCACTACTGAGGTTCGGTAGCCACCTATGGGCAAGATGGTTCTTGAAGGATGTCTTTAATATGGCGAGATTAGAATCCGAGGACAAGATCACCCTGGGAAGTAGGCCCAAACTCCCTCGCCCTGTGTCGGACTGCAACCGACCTGAACAGCGTTCTTCGTTTGTTGTTACACCCTGGGGCACTCCTTACAGTTATATGGGCCAAAGTATTATTGTTGTATATGATTGGTGATAATTAGCAGACATATAATTATCCCAGGTTAAGTATTGAACCCATGAATGTTGGTGTTACCAGTGGTACTGTTGATTATAAGAGTTGAGTCCACCAACCAGGTGTACTACCACTGAATGCTAGTTTAAGTGCCATGTTGTTCATTCCGAACTTACAGGATGTGTTTGATACTATCTTAATTTTGGATTTTGTTGAGTGTGTTATATAGTCATCTGTATTGACAATGAAGTGATATAATGAGTGTGTAATGTTGTAATCAAGAAATTAATATCTATTCTGCTATGTGCAAAGTAAGACCTAAGTGGTCCAGTCTGGTCTGAGTGTACTTAGATAACATCTTGTTTACTCCATATGTTAATAAATAGTGGATAAGTAAACTACAAGTATCACCGCTCTATTCCTCCTACACATTGGTTCTCAGAAAATAACTAGTAACTCACATGCCTAGAAGCTCACTAACAGTTCCATGAGATATGTTATATTCTAATAAAAGTCTGGGTGGTGGCAGGCTGCCGTTGAAAGTATAATAAGTGTTGTAATAAGAATGACATGGTTTCCCCAGACTAATCCATGGTTTTGAATATAATTAAAACAGGGTATACTTCAGAAAGGTAAGGACATAGAAATTCAGAAAATACAATACTATATATGAAAATAAATGAAGTAAAGAAAAGAATATTGACTTGGAAAATACAAGCAGATAAATATAAGATATATACTTATACTGTGGAAATAAAGACACAGCATATGATATTATTAAATATATACACCAAAAAAGGTTAATATAAAAGATAGACATGAGCAAGAAAATAAGTACCTGTAAATAAGAATATAAGAAAGAAGAATATAAAGAAAATAAATATATTGAAAAATAAAAGAGAAGAAATATATGAAATAGAATAAATCTGAAGGATAGAATAAAAGTAAGGAAAGTCCGCTCCTTGCAACGTGTACCAGTGACAAGCAGGGTACCACAGGGCAATGTATTGAGCCTGTTGTTGTTTGTTTCATAAATGACATGCCAGAAACTATATACTCCTCCATACATATGTTTGTGGATGATGCCAAGCTATGCAGAGAAATAAAGAACCAAATGGACAATGAAAAGCTACAGAAAGTTCTCTGCCAGTTGCAAAGTCGTCGAAGAAATGGCTGTTAAGATTCAATGTGATGAAGTGTAAGAGGATGCATTTAGGTCGTACCAACAGTAAGAAGGTGTATTACATGTCCCAATGGGACGATGAAACTGCATTAACAGAGACTGATTATGTAAAGGACCCCAGTGTGTATGTTGCCAATGAACTAAAGTTCTCAGGCCATTCTGAAAAGAAGGTGAATCAAGTAACAAAGCTTGTAGGTCTATAAGAACGCCATTGAGATATCTAGACAGCCAGTTCCTTGTAACACTCTTCAAGAGTGAGGTGCTTCACCGTTTGGAGTACTGTTATTCCGTTTGGTCCCCGAATGCCAGTTGATGAAATTATCCAAAGGAGGACCATCAGACTGGAGCATGTGCTACGTGCAACTGCTTAGGTAATACTATAGGCAGGCAAGGGGTGACTTAATTGAAGTTTATAAACATCTCAGAAGGACAACTGCCCCACAAGAGGTCACAGCTCAAGGTTATATAAGCCACATATCCAGTAAATTGTGAGGGTAAACTTTTTTGGAGCGAGTATTGTAAAAATCTTAGAATAATCTGCCAGTGTTGTGACAGCACTGAGTGTAAGTTCTTCCAAGACCAGAGGAGGTACAGATAAATCCTAACCCTAAGAACATCAGATCCTGCTTACATAAGGGCTCTACTGGAGACAAGTACGGTGTTTCATGGCTTTGTCAGCTGTCCTTGGTCAAAATGACTGAATATCAATTATTATAAGATTAAAGGGTAAAACATGCTAAAGCTATAGTTTCTTTTAAAATCCTCAAGAAATATTGTATATGAAATCTCAAAGATTTCGAATAACAGAGAAATTTGAGTTTAAATAAATTTTCTTCTATAAAAATGAAAAAAAAAGAACTACATATATCTAACCTCATCAGATTCTTCTGGTTCTTGGACCATGAGTCTCTTGGCAGCCTCTTCTGACCTTAGCGGAATGGTGGTGAACTTTGACCCATCCAAATCATTGATATTCACCTGCGAAGGAAACACTGAGGTGAGATTATAGATGATGCGAGAGCCATATTTATTAAGCATGCACAAAATATACAAATATTAAAACAAAAAACATAACAAAAAACTGTACCTGTCCATCTCCAGTCTCAAAGTATCAACTTCGTCCTCTGGAAATCTCCTTGTCCCACTGTTTTTGTTTCTGTTATTTTGTCTCTTCATTTTCCACTCAGCACTTGGCTATTACAGTTTTTATTTATCACTATTTTCTGGCTTTCCGTCTGCTATCATGACTCTGTGTAGTTGGTCTGTCCAAATTTATTTTATCCACATATGTGTCAGGATCGAGAGAAGAGTTGAAAATTAAACAGAGAGGCAGGAGTAGTCTTTGTGGAAGGAGGTCCTCTTGATTGTCGTAAGGAAATACTGGACTATACTAATAATTAACCAATTACACTTGGCATCATGGTCACTCAATAATGTTTAGCATCATGGTCACTCAATAATGTTTAGCATCATGGTCACTCAATAATGTTTAGCATTATGGTCACTTAATATTCCAAATGACATAAGGGGACGTTCACAATTATGCAACCTACCAGAAAAATGGTCACCTTACTCTAGTGACCACCTTACTCCAGAGACCACCTTACTCCAGTGGCCATCTCAATTCAGTAGCCACCTATTTTCAGTGGCCACCTTACTTTTGCAACCACCTCACTGCAGTGAACATCTTATGCCAGTGGCCACCTCATTCCAGTGGCCACTTCACTCCAGTGGCCACATCACGTCAGTGGCCACTTCACTCCAGTGGCCACCTCATTCCAGTGGCCACTTCACTCCAGTGGCCACCTCATTCCAGTGGCCACTTCACTTCAGTGGCCACCTCATTCCAGTAGCCACCTCACTCCAGTGGCCACCTTAATCCAGTGGCCACCTCATTCTAGTGAACATCTTATGCCAGTGGCCACCTCACTCCAGTGGTCACCTTAATCCAGTGACCACCTTACTCCAGTGGCCATCTCATTCCAGTGGCCACCTCATTCCAGTGGCCACCTCACTCGTGACCACCTTAATCCAGTGGCCACCTTACTCCAGTGGCCATCTCATTCCAGTAGCCACCTATTTCCAGAGGCCACCTTACTTTAGTGACCACCTTACTCCAGTGGCCATCTCACTCCAGTGACCATTTCACTCCAGTGGCCATCTCACTCCAGTGGCCACCTTACTCCAGTGGCCACCTCACTCCAGTGACCACCTTAATCCAGTGGCCACCTTAATCCAGTGGCCAACTATTTCAAGTGGCCACCTTACTCCAGTGACCTTACTCCAGTGGCCACCTTAATTTAGTGACAACCTTACCCTAGTGACCACCTTACTCCAGTGACCACCTTAGTCCAGTGGCCATCTTACTCTAGTGGCCACCTCATTCCACTGGCCATCTTACTCTAGTGGCCACCTATTTCCAGTGCTTACCTTAATTTAGTGGCCACCTATTTCCAGTGACCACCTCACTCCACTGGCCATCTTACTCCAGTGGCCACCTATTTCCAATGGCCACCTTAATTTAGTGACCAACTTACTCCAGTGACCACTTTACTCTAGTGGCCATCTCACTCCAGTGGCCACCTATTTCCAGTGGCCACCTTACTCCAGTGGCCACCTTACTCCAGTGGCCACCTTACTCCAGTGGCTACCTTACTCCAGTGGCTACCTTACTCCAGTGGCCACCTTACTCCAGTGGCTACCTTACTTCAAACAATATATTTATAAATTTGTCTAGTTAAGCTTCTTTTATTGTCTGTCTTTTATCCTATTTGTCTATACAGTACCTTAGTTTTAGTCTCAGTTTGTCTCTTTGATCTACCTGTCTCCTCTCTGTCTCTCACTGTCGGTGTCTGTCTCTCTTACCTCGTGGTCAGAGGCCTCGGGTGAGTCTGACGTCTCTGAGGAGGAAGGAGTAAGAGGTCTCGAGTCCTCGGGGGCTGCGAGACCAATGTTGATGAGGATCTCGCCCAGAACGTCCTCGGGTTCATCCTCGCTCTGCCGCAGCATCGAGTACACCACCCGCGGGTACCGCCTGTGGAGGAGGGTAATAAGGTAATTATAACAATAATTGTATGAGGGGGGCAGACGTTTATAATGCTTAGGGTACCACATGTGAGGGGTGCAGGAGTGTACAATACCCAGGGAACCGCATGCGGGGTGAAAAGGAGTGGTATTTTTTTTTTTTTTTGCGGGGATTAGCCCACCCGGGCACAGGTCACTGACCCACATCAGGGCCCGGGGGGCGAAAATTAATAATAATAATAATTCATAGTAAATAAAATTTATAATAAAAAGTAAAATAAAATATTAATGGTAATAATAATAATAACAACACTGTGATAATAATAAATACAAAGAAATGCAAGAATGAAAAAAATCAACAGTGAGAAACGCTATATGTATGTTGTTTTGTCATGTAATAGAAACAATTGAGACCCTACAATTGTGTGTAAATGAGGCAGAAAGTCAGATGAGCAACCTGGGACTTGGTCACAATTTTCGTGATGCCATATGGCAGCAGGGTCTACCATTAGACAACACATTATGCTGCCAATATCTTCCCAGGCGGTAGTACCTCCCTGTTTGGTAGCTGCCTACTACCCAGGGTACCGCATGTGGGGGGGGGAAGCTTATAATACCCAGGATACCGCATGTGAGAGGGGGGAAGGCAGAGTGTATTATACCCAGGAACCGCATGCGGGGTGAAAAAGAGTGTATAATACCCAGGGAACCGCATGCAGGAGAGGGGCAGGGTAAGGGTGTTGACATAGTGCCTGCGTAGGAGACAGACTAACGACTTAAAACGGATCATGGCACTGGTTTAAGGTGCTTTGAAAGAATGACAATGCCAGTGACAATGGGACTGACAATAACTAGCAGCAACAATGAAAATGGCAATGTATTCAATATAAACACATAATTCGCAGTGGAAATGTATCTGACGGGACAAAATTACATAAACTAGATACCAGGCGTCTTTTTTCCTGTATACATTCATTATTATTCTGTCCAGATTCTCAGCGACAACCACTTTGAATAAATTCCTCGTAAATGAGCAATAAACATGTATGAATGTATTAACTGATTGACGTGAGCTAATTCACAAAAATAACGTTCAAATTTAACATCAAAGTTTCACCGAGAGACTAAATTAGCTAGATACTCTTTTATTTAGCGCTACCTACTAGGTAGTAGGTAGGGAGCTACCAAACAGGGAGGTACTACCGCCTGGGAAGATATTGGAAGCATAATGTGTTGTCTAATGGTAGACCCTGCTGCCATATGGCATCACGAAAATTGTAACCAAGCTCCAGGTTGCTCATCTGATTTTCTGCCTCATTTACACATAATTGTAGGGTCTCAATTGTTTCTCTTACTATTGAGAACACAACATACATATATTGTTTCTCATTTTTTATCTTTTTTAATTTTGTGTATTTCTTTATTATTATTATTACAGTGTTGTTATTATTATTATTCTCATCATTATTAATTTATTATTTTATTTTAAATTTTTTATTATAAATTTTATTTACTATGAATTATTATTATTATTATTATTATTATTATTATTATTATTATCATTACATTTTCGCCCCCTAGGCCCCGGTGGGCTAATCCCCGTAAAAACAGGGGAAATATGCATTTATATGCACTAAAAAATGTCACTTATAAAGCCAAGAATGCAGGTTATACGGAAACAAAATAGTTAATATAAACAAACGTTAATGTTTATTGAGCAATATACGTAATGTATTTAACATATATATGTGAAAGTGCTTCAAAAAATATATATGAACATGTATTTACATTATAGACTGACATATTTTCAGACATTACAGATTGTGGTTGCATTTGATGATGACATGGCGTAAGTTCTCAAAGTTAAAACCCCGCCTGTTGTCTGTCAGCATAGCTTTATATTCTGAGAACACCCTTTCTACATCACACGAGACGATTGGTGCATGTTTCATACATAGGAGGTCTGACATAGTGAGTGGCTGTACCGTCTCGTCAATAATAGCATCACCAGACATTATCTGACTGACCTTTTTCAGCTTTTCAAATCAGGGGGTGGGGTTGTCAGGGGGTGGGGTTAACCCAGAAATACCAATGAGTCATGACCAGGTGTGGAAACGACAGATTAAAGCGACGTGACCTCACCTCACTTCACCTAACCACACCTCACCTCACCTCCCAGTACCACGTGTGCTCATTCAGTGGCAACAAAGAGATACTGCCAGATGAATATTTTACCAAAATATGCATTTATATGCAGTTATCTAGGTAATATGCACTTATCATAGAAATCACGCAAAATATGCATTTGCATATGAAATATGCAAATGCATAACTATCCGGGCCTTATTTATAACGGTCTCCTTCTGTTCCATGGGTCAGTGGTTTACAATTTAGGGAAATGAAGGCGGTCGAGTGCAGTACCGGCCATGCTGCCTCCTTGTATACCAAAGACAGTATACAGTGTGGTGTTTCCATTCATCTACTGAATTTTCCAAAATGAATTTTACTTTTATCCTCTTCGCCACTGATCGTAACTTTTGCACCAAACTTAATCAACCACAACACTTTCTACCATACAACCACACGTAACAATCACAACTGCTACCACCGACAAACCATATACTAAACAACCACTTAATCTGAATGCTTACAACTACATCTACCAGTCATATAACCATCCATTTGACTAACTACTACAATTACCACCATCCATACGTTAATAATCATTCCTATTTGACCATAACTACTACCACCCACACGTCAAAAACAATAAGCAAACCTTTTATATAAGATTTACTACCACAACCATCTACCAGCCGCTCACAAATAACCACCACCCCTGCACGTCTCTTACCACGCACTAGGACTAACGGCTAGACACCTATCTCTCGTTCGTAAGTGTGTGTGTGTGTGTGTGAGTGTGTGTGTGTGAAATCCTGCCTCAGCTGCTGCATCGCGAGACATCCGCAATCCCTCACTCTTAGGAGAGAGAGAGAGAGAGAGAGAGAGAGAGAGAGAGAGAGAGAGAGCGAGACTAATGCAGAATATCAATAAGTGTTGCAGAGGGCCTGGCTGTGAATTGTTTATATACAACACCAGAACATAATCGCTCCCATGACCCTTGTGACGTTGAAAGTCAATATTCTTTAACAACATCTGTATTTCATCACTGTTGCGAAACTTTTCCCAGCGTGTTGCAAAGATTCAAGAGCAACACCGACTCTCCCATTACTCACTGTCATCCAGGCGATGTTACGGCTGTGTTTAGTTATGGTATCCCCTTTCAACTAAGGTAGTAAGGTTTACATCTGCTTTACCCCCGTCGCTTCACACTACCCAGAATTATCCAACACCAGCACGTTCTTCCCCCGAAAACCACTTATTCATTTGCTTGTCGGCTTCTTCTGGAAACTCTACAAGTCTACAGTATAGAGCGGTGGTTCTTAACCTTTTTGAAGCAGAGCCCACCCATGATCAAGCTTGAATCCATGGTGCCTCCCCCCCCCCTCTCCTGGTTCCCAAAGGTAGAATACTGTTTTTTCAAGCTTCAGTTTCATTGCCTTTATTCTCTTTCTAGATCCAAATAAACCCAAGACAAAGGTGATCTTTCTAGAAGTTCAAATGTATTTCATCTGGAATTAATGGGAAGGATGGCACTTTTTTTTCCACAAGCCTTTGAATTCGTGATGAGGTCGAAAAAAGGACAAACTGCGTGTCATTTTCAACATTCAATCCCTTGTACCCCTCCCCCCAGGTTGAGAACCGCTGGTATAGACTATAGACGATATGTTTTGCTTTTATACAATATATTTGACTCTGTGTCGTAAGTGTGTGTTCATGTGTGAACTGTATTTTGATTTCATGATTTATTTTCCCACAAAATGCAATGTGCTTATAAACTGCACATATTTATGGATGTAGTAATGCTAAATTTGGACAATAATATTTAACTGTTACAGGTATAACAATAATCAGCGAAGATGTTTTTTCTTCCAGTAACTTACAGAGGATGAGAACCTTTTATATTACAGTACATTATTTTATACATCACAAACGTATACCTTATGACAGGGAAGCTGAGTGGCAGACAAAGAGGTGTGTGTGCGCGCACGTGCACCCCCCCCGCTTTCTTCCTACTTCCTGCATTATATTGGGAAAATGCTTGAAAGATTAAAAACAGAAAACTTTACATAATGTCGGCTGTTGCGTTCAAACTTGCACATATTTTCAAAATATTGGGAAAATTTGTTTTAAGGATTCGCATGTTAATTATTTTTCCTTTCTGGGGCTGAAAGACTACCTCATATTGACATACTGCTCAGTGTAAATTTTAAAGTGTTTTCCATAGCGAACATTACTCAGTGTAATTATTATAGGTGTTACCCCGAAGGTAAAATGTTTCACGTAAGTATCAAAGGTGTTATCCCTGGGTGGAGTGAGCGATGGGAGGGCTCGGGTTCAGCTGATGGGGACAATGAAGTTAGTGATGCGATGCGTGTGGTGGTGTGATTAACACTTCACTCGTTCCTTTGCTCGGTAAATATTCACTCACCCTGCTCTCTCTCTCTCCTCTTTTACGCTCTCTCGTTCCTTTCTCATGTCCTCTCTAGATCTCCCTTTTCTGTCTCGCTTTTACTCTTTGTTTCTCATTTCTGTCCCAAATTTCTTCACTTTATCTCCGTCTCATACTTCCGCAATCTGCCTTATAGGCTTCTCTCTCCCTCTCCCTGTTTGTTTTTCCCTCTTTATTTACACCACTCTTCTCTTTTCGCTGTTTATTTCCTATTTTCCGTCTCTCCATCTTTACCTGTATATTTGCTTTGGTTTTTCCCTCTCTAGAGGTGACAATATATTAGACCTAGTATTACCAAATAAAGAAAATATTATCAGAGATATCACAGTAGGGGAAGAACTAGGGAACAGTGATCACAGAGAAATCAGGTTCCCCCAAAATTGGGAAACGAAAAACAATGACAATATGGTCAGAGTTCCAAACTTTCGATTGGCGAA